CAAACTATAAGTTTTGATGGTGGTCATGGTAAGTGGTCACTCTTTTCTTTCCATCTTTGATTTCTTACCTAAATCTTTTATTTTTTAAATATCGTGTTTAAAAGTTTCAAGCTTATTAAGCTTTAAAAAAATTATTTTATTAAAATCACCGTTAGTAAATAAAGAGAGACCGACCTATAAAATTGAGTGATTTATTGTTTAAAAAGATATTAACAATTTTAATTTATAGTTGTTTTGTTTATATACCCTTAAATACTATATTAAGTTGCTGACTTACTATTGTGAAATTTTTTATTATGTAATAATCCTTTCATTTTTAATCTATTTTATATGCAAAAACACTTGAATGATTAATGGTCACATGAAGATTAATTTATGGTAATAAGCATATACTGCTGGGTAAATCAGCATCAACAATTCATCACAACCCCTTCTCAATTCTAATCCCTCCCTTTATCATCTCCCTCCATGGGCATGCAGCCATGATGAATATGGTGATGATCACTTCATATTAGGCTAAAAGAAAGAGCATCAGAACCCAGGAAAGTGCATGGCAGCACTTACGGTCAATTCCGGGGTTCCGTTTTCAACCTCTGCAATGTAGCTATCTCAACAACTTCACTTCACGCATGAATAAAAATTTTCCCTGCAATCATTTCACCACTAGTAGTAAGCAGTGAAGAGAACTGGTACCATGCCCTCCACTAGACTGAACAAAGTAATATATTCTTTGTGCCTTACCAAGAAAAATGGCATAATCTCACTAAAAATAATAATAGGCGAGTAAAAATCCCACACAGCCTTGTCACTTCAGGAGGATTTGTACTAGGAAATATTATGAAATGACAAATGGGAATGCGTGATTACATATATGGCACATAAAGAAAAATCTCTCCTAGCCACTCAGGTGTGGTTTTGGTGGACACTAGGCACCACCTTCTCTGATCTTACCGTGTCCTATATGTAACATTTCCCAAGATAAGGAATATAAGGTACTACATAGTAAACAACAGAAAGAAAATAAAACAAAGCTGAATTAAAGAAATGGAGTGATTCCACAGGATATGATATATGTGGATGATGACTGGATGATCAGTATGAGTAGTGGGTAGAAAATAACAAACGATGAACAGCACACATGTTTGGTGATGAGGAGACATAAAAATTGCTATAAATTGCTAGCTGACGACAATGGTTCATTGAGAGGGCCTTAATTATGGGACCCTTCATTGTTACCTCTAACACAAGTTAAATTGGAATGCCCTACGGATTTGTCCCTCGATATTTTTTCCTGCCCATATAAGCGACCTTTCCGAGCTCTTTTAGACGCATACAATTCTGATGTGTCTCAATCATATGAAAGCTCCATAGCTCCAACCCATCCTATCCTGGTTGCGCCCTAAGGATGACGATAAATACCGCTTTATTCCTCTCTGTTTCACTTTTTTTTGTCTTTGCAATACGGAATACCCTCTGGGGTTACCTTTCTTATCCTAAGACAGTTGTGTATATTAATGTTGGAGTCGGAGAGAGAACATTTAAGCTTATTCAGAGCAATTGAATTCAAGGGTTAGATTTAGCCTTTTTATTTGATGTAGGTGGCTTTTTAAGACTTCATTTTTTAAAAGTTTAATTTAATTAAAAAATTTATTTAAAAACTTGTTTTATAAAAATAAGTTATAAATAGATTTAAAAAATTACATTTTAATTTGCTAATAAATCTAAACTTAAACATAAATCAGTAAAATTAAACCTTAATAAAATAAGTATATAATTTCAACAATATATTACGAAGTTAATACAGCAGTTATTATACGTGCTTATCTAATGATACTATTATTTTATTGTACTATTTATATTTACCTAAAAGAACTTGTCTATTAGGTTTTAAAGACCTTTTAAATAACTTGCAAATTTTTATTGTAAACCAAATAATTAAAAAAAAAAACTATTATAAAATTTATAATTTTTCTAATCACGATTTTAAAAGTATATATAAATTGTTAACTTGATGGTCTAAACTAATTCGACTCATTTTCATCGACTTAATTTGGTTCGAGTTTTTTATTTCTCAAATTCATATCAAACTCACCCATTAATTTTGATTGATTTATATTGTTTTCCCTCCAAAACCCAAGTAAGCTGACTTGTTTACACTCCAACCAAATGCACACCCAATCCGCGAAAAAACTATTAAATACAAGGCTTTTTTTTTTTTGATCCATGATACAAGGCTTAAACAGTCATATTCTTACAACGTTGCAATTCATAAATATAAATACTAAAAAATATGATCACATCAAATAAAATATGCTCTAAGCTGTGACGTGCCAAGAGAAGCTTTCCTTTTCATGTTTATTATAATAATGATAATAACAAAAATCTTAACAACCAACCACCCAAGTCAGGGGTCAAGTGGGAAAAAACTTCTTGACACATACATAGTACTAGACAACTGTCTGAATGATTGACAAAATAGAAAAAGAAAAAAGATCTCTGCACGAGAGATTGCTTAATTTGAAGTTCTGTGGAGTTGACCATCATACACACTGTTAGCAAAGTTAGCCAATTGAGAATAAAATTTTAGTTTTTATGGAACCGCTATCACATGGTTACATCGGAGCTTAGGACCAATTTTAACAAGTTTTGTTAAAAAAAAAAAACGATTATACAATATAAGTTTTATTTAGCTTTTTCTAGTAGTTCTTATATTCGTGTTTAAAAGAAAAACACTCCATTAATAATAATCATTTAAATATTTTTTAATTAACTAAAAAACATACAACATATCCTTAATTACTCCAACTTCACATTTTTCATAGTAAAGTCAATGAACTAGCCAGCACAACGAACTATATAAAAGATTCTAATGAGTTTACTTTTTACACCAGCATTTTATTTTATTTTTTGTAATTTTGATTTTCAAAATCACCCTTAAATATTGAAGTACATTCTCACTAATATCACCCCTCTATCTGTACGCAATGCCAAAAAAACCCATCTCACCTCCTTCATGTATAATCACCATTAAATTATCACGTCCACATGTGAGATAAAAGTGCGAGAAGGATATGAAAAAACGCTGATGAGAGGAATTAGCAAGTACAAAACTTCACGTGTGATCCTCACGCACGAGGACACCCATAGATCTTTGAAATCTTAGCAACACCATCTTTAAAACTCTTCGTTTGTTGAGCTATATACCAGTACCCCACCCATTTTGAATGGGTTAAAACCGTTGTCGATTTTTCTTTCTCCAAGTTCCGGGCTCAATGTGTTATAAATTGAAGAGTTCTTTGTTCCACAAACAAAAGAAAGATTTTGGGGGCAACTTTCTATAAACAACTAGGGCTGGTTTTTTAAAATGAGGAGAAAGATTAACCTTGAAAGTAAAGGTATTTTAAAAATGAATATTACAAGAAAAATGTGAATAATTGTGAACAATTGGTAATGAATATTACAAGAAACACGTAAATAATTCTGAACAATTGGTGACGAGAAATTGTGTATTTTTTATATTCTAAAATAAATATCATTCTAGTTTGGCTTTGTTCTACATAAGATACCGCCTCTCACTTGCATAACCATGTTTATGTCCTTTGGAACATACAAGGAAACTATGATTTTGGCATGCAACTTCACCTTGAAAAAACTAAAAGGTACTCTCCCAGACGTACAATCCAAAAAAGAAAAGCGATCAAGTAGCAGAATAGGACGAAGGAATCTTATTGATGTTGAAACCCTGAAGGCCGATAAATTTACTAAGTTGTAAAAAGTGTGAAAAGCTTATCAAACTAAACAGAAATTACAAAAAGGCTTCACTTTGAAGATAAATAACAAGTGAACTGTAACAGGTCCACTGTCACCAACCCATTATAAACCTTAAACACCAAACAATTTCCAAGGAACAACATACCCACAAAAAATAAAGCTCACTCCCTGATGCCAGGACGACCCCACCAGAAAAACAAAAAATCAAAATGATTTTTTCCCCTCAAAAGAACCAATTACTTGAAACCAATGTCATAAAACATTTTAAATTCAAGTGAGAAGCACAAAATGCCACAACCACCAAAACAACCCAAAAATCACACTATCACCAAAAGATGAATCGGGTAGACAAAAAAGCTACAACCCAAATACATTAACGCCATGAATACATCAAGAAATTCATTTCCAAGTGTGAACAGAATGCAAAACTGAAAGGAATTGTCACAGAAATTTATGGAAATAATTTTACTCCAATTTTTGCTTATGTAAATCATGCCTGTCAAATTAAAGTAATGATTATACTTATAAAATTGTTGCATCACAATGTAACTTTTTCTTATTCTCCTGAACAATTTAGTGTCAGATACAGTGACTACAGGGAATATGCCAAAGCTCATAAACACAAAGGAGTAACGGCAATCACACAGAAATACAAGCAATGTCAAACATGAGAGAGGCAGGCGTGATTGGATGGAGAGACAAATCAAGAACAAATCCACAAATGAAGTGGATACATCAAGTAGGATTGGAAAAATTAGTAAATGAGAAATGAAGGCTACCTTGCCAAGGAAGAAGCTGAAAATCAGGAGACAGAAATCAAAAGCCTGAACAAGTGAATATTGTGAAAGCCACAAAGCAAGGAGCCAGCAACTATGAACTGTGGGGATAACATTTACCACTTTGCACTTTGTTTAGGATTTAAAGACAAGAGTACAATTAATAATTATTAAGAGAGAGGGGGAGAGAGAGAGAGTTGGTTCCATCCTCCTATACCTCCCAAATTACAGAAGAAAACTTGGGTATCGGATGGAATGAGATGAAATAGAGCCCAATTCCATCCTTTTAGGAATTCAAACAATGACAACTAATAAGATTCCACTACATTCTCCTCCATTCCAATTCCCTTGAAACAATATAGCCTAAGAGGAAAAAAGAGTGCAAGAGAACTAAAAGATAGTGACAAGAAGAAACATCTACCAACTGGTTCCACCATAAACTCTGTTGCTAAAACCTAAAATATATTAATTGTGCATGATAAAAGGAGAGAAAGCCAATAAATGAGAGAAAAGTTATAACACACATGTTAAGCAGCTCAACTAAGAGTCTAACCAGTGCATGAAAAATACAAACTTTCATACATGATAATATTTCTCATGCAACATATTCAAAATGTTTACAAGGGAAATAGTATTTAAACTAAAAGGGAAAGATCGTCTCGGTGGATAGCAATTATAGTATACAACTGTCCCAGAGTGCTCATCATTTCCCCCTGAAATTTGAAAGAGAAATATTTCACTTAATTTTTTAAAAAGCAAGAAAATCACAAAAAAGATAAAAGTATTATTTTGATTTCACTTAAATGTTAATCATGAGAAAGATGAAAGTACAACATAATTTCACTTACGTGTTCATCATTAAAGTTATGTTGTCTCCCTTAAGAAGGATCCTCCCTAATAAAAAAAATCCTTCAGAAAATGAACAAGTGGCAAAGACAAATTGAACAAAATTTGAGAAACGGTAGCATACCTAATGTCTTTCTGCTCTTCTTTTTTACGTTAACTTCTTCAGCATCATCAAGAACCAAATTCATGTATTCATCAAAACCCTGTTTTAAAAACAACAAAATCATATAATCCTTAAATAACTGCCCAGATGATTAATATTTTTAACAACGGTATGCCTCTACAAGAACTACCACCATCTTTCTCCCCCCAAAAGAACCAAAAAGTTCACAAAATATCCCGAAGACAACAAATATGAGATCATATCACACAATGCATGAGGAAAATCTACACAATTTGGACAACATGGGAATAAATAATATTTGGGGAATTTTAAGGGTACACTGGAAAAATAGCAGGGGATTTTTCATCCTCAATTTTTCAATTCTTTTCAAGATTCTCTAGACAATGCAAACCAATAACCATTTCCTCTCGTCCCATGATTGGCACAGAAAAAGTATATCTATATCAACCTAACACATGAAATGACTAAATGTGCATGCTCTTCAGCCAGTCATACTGCCAAGTGGCATGTGTATCCATATCCATACAGGTGGGGCAACAAATAGGGGGAACAAACTTATCAAAAAGACTTAAAACAGGGTAGGAGGTTTCAAGCCTGTTGGAAATACATCTGCTGCCAGCAATGGCCAGTATTCTGATATGAAAGAAAGGGGGAAAGGAAAGAAAGAAAGGAAAATGTGTGGCCAGAGGGTCAGAGGTCTCAAGTTCATGGTGTGCCCTAAACAAGGCTTAAAGTCTTTGATTTTCGGTGCTCTAGGAATACGAAAAATAACAAGACTATATCACAATGTTTTAAGAGAGATTCTCTGAGCTACTAGTACCATTTTGAATGTTGCCCATGCTACAAGAAACACATCTAAGGGCATGTCGTACAGCATGTGCCACATGGGAATAATATGAGACTCCCACACAACAGGGTTTTGTTGCATAGAGCCTTGTTGCACTGTACAATGCTATGGTTAACTTTGCCAAAAACCTGACTACTTAATTCTTCGCACCAGAGAAGATAGTTAAAGACAATTCAGGACATCAAAATCCCATTATTTAAGTAGTGTTATGAGAAAGAGGCTCAGTATTTTGTAAACAATTCATTGGAATCTCAGGTCAACTTTTTCAAGTCCTTGTAGAGCCATAAAATGAATTTCAGACGGCCTCACCCTCATCAATTCACCAACTAGCTAAAATCAACCATAAATAACATTATTATCACTGCAAGCAAAACAAATAAGTGCCCTAAGAATTATCTACACCAATAAGCAATATTATTGCGTGTGCCTCATGAGTAGTTTTTATAAGCACAACAACTCAACCAATTAAGATAATAATAAAATAACTCTAGCACAGACAAGAACTGCAAACGGAACAATAGAACACGGCCATTTATAACTAAATTCCCTCACAATCCAGTATAGCGATAATCACAGAACAATTCTAAACAATATTACAACGTCTTCCCCCTCGGTGAAGACTTTCCATCTCCTCGAAAAACATTTTAAAAGAGAATTTTGACGAGCACCCAGGTAACAAACAAGCATTAAAAACGACACTCACAATGATTCGGCCTTCAATCCTCAAATCCTTTTGCTCGAAGAGCCAAATCTGAATGCGTGCTTTCTGCGCAAGTTACAATTAGAGTAAGAAAAGCAAGTTAGATATAGAAGAAATAATTTAGGGAAAGGCAAGAGGGGATTATGAACCAAATGAGAGTGGGTAGGACTTACGCTTTGAAGAAACCTGAAAATCAAGTTCTGACGAAACCAGAAAAGGAATGAAGTTAGGTTTAAAGCAAAACAAAATCGAAAGGGAAAGAGTGTATGAGAAACGTACAATGGGCTGTGTCATAACCCTCTGAACTTTGGTGCTCGCCATGGCTGCTACGAACGATTGCACGGAGAGGGTGGTAGTTTGTGTAAACGCGAGAGCTAAACCCTAAAGAGTGAGCAATAGAAATGTGCAATTCCCTCACCGAGGGTTTTAAACAGGGAACAAAATAATGGGAAACCCCTATTATGTTTCAAAATTTGGAGCGTATGCATTTATATTTAATTTTATTTTGTTTTTCCTTTTGATGAAGCTGATGCATCAATATAACTCGATCATAATTTTTTATGCAGTCTATTTTAATTACATGACAGATTATATATTTTAGTTAGTATTACATATAAAAAATTATGCCAATAAAAGAATATTTTTAATCGTTTAAATTTTTTTGACATAAAAAAATCGTATAATTTTTTCTCTAAAATAGCTCATTGTAAAATTGAAATCTTGGCACAACAATAAATATGATGTGTCTCAATTTAAATCATTTGTTTTTATAATCCCTTCCTCAATTTTAAATTTTTTAATTTAAATTATTACTATTTAATAATCAGATTTTCTTTATTAAAAGAAAATATATTTATTGTTTTATTTTACTTTTTTATTTTTATTTGAATTTTAGAATAATCATTTGATATTTGAAAATTAGTAGTTTAATTAAAAAAATTATGTATTATATCAATAAAAATATGTTTCTTAGTTTAAATAATTTTCTTTTTAATAAATTAAATTGTTTATTTTTATTACTGTTATAATTTGTGTAATATATGAGAAATTTATTGATTTTTTTATTTATATTTTTACAATTTTAATAAATAAGTCATTCAAGTTGATGGATAAATTTATATATATATATATATATATATATATATATATATTATTTAAAAGAAAGTCTTACCATATCGCATGATATTACCTTAATCATTCAATTTTTCTGCACAATTTTTTTTAACAATCATAATTCAACAATTGATAAATAACAAGTCAATTAAGTATGTCCGTAACCATTAATTCATGGGATACGTATAAGCCACACATCAATCCTGGTGATATATACAAAGTGATCAATAAAATGAGTCAAATGACATGCAGGAGCTTAGGGTTAAAAAAAAAAAAACAATAGGATTGGTTCCATGATAAAATAAAGTTTTCTAGGCCATAAGATTTTTTTTGTTCATGTGTATAAACTTTGAATTGAATTCTAGACCATATTTTTAGGAGATTCAAATTCCTTCGTCTCAATTCAAAGAATATTAACGAAACGAACAAAAAATCTAATCCACTTTAATATTTTAATCAACAAAGATTAATATAGAAAATGAAGGAGCAAAACTATATATAATATAGATCGACACAGATGCACACTCTCCTAGCAATGGACTTGACATTTTGAAGTGACAGGTGATGGGTGCATGCAATATGATTATCATTATGTAACTTTGGTGAACCTACCTTGTGCCGTTCTCCCAAGTATTAAAATGCAAAACACCATTGTTTTCCTCAGTTAATCATTGTCAAGCAATGTATTTTAGTTTATTTTGGAAGTGTCACAACCTAACAGGCATTTCAATTCAAAACTCCTTTTATGATGTGGACACGTGGATGACTGATAATTTACATTTTATAATAATATATGACATTCTACGATAGATTTAATTTCTCTATTTTGTATCCTTTTGTGGGAGTATCCACCCAAATTAAAAAAATCTTGAAGTAAACGTTGCTAATTAACTAGCTCTGAGAAACTTAATTATATTAGTCAACATGCTTAATTAATTAGTAATAGAATAAATCAATGCGAGAGCTAAAGAGTGAGATGAAAGGAAGATGTTCTCATTTGGTTGGTAGGTCAAAGTCCCGAATGTTAAAGTCTGCATTGACAAAAAATCACATAACATATGTAACTTCGATCACCATAAGAATATAAGAAATCTATCTTTCCGCGAAAATACCTTATTACTGTCGGTCTATATATATGTTGCCATGTTTATGTACTAAACCAAATGTTTTGACTTTTCTATATATTTTGTGCTGAATATTTCTTATGAAAGATATGTTCCGTATGAAAAAATGAAAGATCAATTCAACTGTAGATTAAAAGAATAAAATTATAAAAGTATAATGTAATTAACTTCAAAATTTATGATATTTCATCCTATCTTTATAAAAAATAAACAAGTGATTCATCGAAATCAATTAAATTGGTGACTTATACATCTTAAATTATTGAATATATTTACTTATGAATAAGATGTCTTTTAAAGAATTTTATAGATAACTTATACTTTATAACTCTTATAAAAAATTATTAACTTATTTTGATATAATTATCCTATTAAAATAAATTATTTTAATTTTACATAAGAAATTAATAATTAAATAAATATTTAATTAAAGTACATATTTGAATGCACCTTAAATTATACAAGCTAAGTGGCATAAACTATCTCATATTAATTAAGCGTTATTTTTGGGATAATAGTTTAAAAGAAAAAAAATTGAACAATGTTAGTTTACATAATGAATTTTCATGAATTTGACCATGTATTCAGATCACAAAAGTGAGATATGGGAAACAAAGATGAAAAATATATTCAGCTGAAAAACTTGCTTAACTTGTCAGGGATATAAATCTACACATGTTTTTTCGTTATTGAATGGAAAATTAATCAATTTAAACATAATATAACATTTTTATTTTTATACTATTATGTCTCGTGCAATTTTTAAAATTTTAAATTTTATTTTCTTGTATAACACCTTTTATTCTTTATTTAATTTTATTTTATTTAGTTTGTTAATATGTTTAACAAAACTGTATAATATGTAAAGAGAGGTATGCTATTTTAAATTATGTAGTATAATTCATTTATTTTCATCTCTTTTTATTTTCTCTATGCAAAATTCCTTAAGATTCACTTTCATGATAGGTGTACCGAAGAATAATTGAAAAAATAATAATTTTATTTAATTTATACTTTATTGGTGATATATTTACATTTTTATATTGATAATACTTGAATAATAATATTTTTACAAGGTTAGAGATTACAATACATTTTAAAAAAAATTACACACAATTATGAGATTCAAGTACAAAACTTTTTATTAAGTAGATTAATTACATACACGTTAATACAATGGGATCTTACATTACTGCATTAAATTTTTTAATAATAATTTAAGTATTAATACCCAAAAAAGTAAAATATTCTATTATATAATTAATTAAAGAAAAACATGCATATATTTTTTAGCATTACAAATTATATATATATATATATATATATATATATATATATGAATTAATATTCTCGTGATAAAGCAGTCTAAATATACAAATTCATTTATTACCGCATTTTCATATTTAATTTATTTTTTTAGAATGAATGGGAGGGAAGGAGAGATAATTAAAATTTTATTTAACTCAATTTTAGCTTCATCTAAAACTAAAGAATTTGAAAAAGAGAAAAAAAATTAGATCAATTAAACAAAATGATTCTTAATTCAATAACTTTATTGACCACTTCAAATATACAATATTATTTTTTTTCTCTAGTCAAACAAATGAAGTATATTTTTTTTTTACTGAAATTCTTTCTCTTTCTCCCACCTGTCTTTCTCTTCATTTCATTAAAATTAGTCTCTTTCTCTTTTTTTTAATCAAATAATACATTGATGATTAGTATTTTTTTTTTTAAATTACACACACATATATAAAGAGGTTTTCTATTTTATATGTTCCATATATATATATATATATATATATATATATATATATATATATATATATATAATTGAATAAATTTAATTAACTAAACAAAAAACAGTAGTCTTCAACGCCCACACTCTATATATAGAGAGGAGGGATCGACAACAATCCATTATTGCCATAATTGAGATTACTAATAGTTATTATAAGATGGCTAAGTGCTTCTCGTGCCTTCTCTCTTGGTTTATGTTCTTTTTGCTTGTGCTGCTACAGGTACAAACGGGGAGTGGGTCAAATGCAACATCGATGGGTGTGATAAAGCTGAGAGTAGGGGTACCCAAGACAGATGGTTTCCCCGAATTTGTGAACGTAGTTTGGGACTCTCATGAAAAAAAGTACAACGTATCTGGATTTTGCATGGATGTTTTCAATGCCGTTGTAAACCTCTTACCTTTCAAGGTTTCTCTTGATGTTGAACCATATGCTATTGAATCAAGTGAGAGTGCTGGAACATACGATTCACTTGTCCAACAAATCCCAACAAAGGTTAGTAACTTGTCTTATATACACAAGTACATAGATTTCAATCATCTATTTACATGCCTTTTATTTAGTTATTTAAAATAAAGTCAGAAATTTGACCCTACTTTTTCGTTGCTAAAATTAATACGATGGAACAGTACGATGTTGTGGTAGGGGATGTAACAATCGTGGCAAACCGTTCAAAATACGTAGATTTCACACTACCATATACCGAATCTGGGGTTACAATGCTAGTCTCAGTTCAACATGGGAGGCACCAAACCATGTGGATTTTTGTTAGACCATTCAGCTGGGATCTTTGGTTGAGCATAATCTTGATCTCTACGTTCATAGGGGTTGTCATACTCATCATGGAAAGAAATGTAAATGCCCTGCCTGATCAAGAGGGTTCGCCAAATCGAAGAACGCTCAGTGCTGTAACCATCTTATGGTTTCCAATTTCACAAGCTATCCTTCCAGAAAGTAATACTATATAACATTAATTAATGTTTTAATATTTTTAACCACTATAACTTATGTAGGGTTCTTTAGGAAGCTGCTTACAAAATTAATAAATAAATAAATAAAATTTATCAAAAATCACGTTCAGATACATTAAAAATTATAAAAACAATGTATTTTGACATTTTTAAATAAAATACATGTATTCATGTTTATTGCTTTTAATATATGAATTTTCAGGACAAGTAGTCGCCAAGAACTGCTCGAGATTTGTGTTGATGGTTTGGCTTCTATTGGCGTTCGTCCTCATGCAAAGTTACACCGCAAACTTGACATCTATATTGACATTGGATCAGCTACGACCCAGTTTTCTCAACGTGAATGATCTAATAAAAGGGGGTTATTATGTTGGATATCAAACCGGGTCTTTCGTTTATGATCTATTGGTACAGCAATTGAAGTTTAACCCATCCAAGCTGAGGGCATATAGCAACATTTCTGACTATCATCATGCTTTAAAAATTGGAAGCCAAGGTGGAGGTGTTGCTGCTATATTCGATGAAGTGCCCTGCCTTAAAGTCTACCTTCGAAAATTCGGATCCGATTACATCATGACTGGCCCCACCTATAGAACTGATGGCTTTGGTTTTGTAAGTGCATCCTCTCTAGCTAGGTATTATAATAAATTTCTTCCTCGGTAAGACTAGGAGAATATGTGGTGTGTCCAGAGTGATATAAGAAAAGAAAAATGATAAATGTAATGTAACATAAAAGAAAAATGAATGAGTGATGATAATATTAAAATGTTTATAAATTAGATTTGGTCAGTCTAAGATATTTTTTGGTTTACAAAATATTAATAGTATTTTTATAATGTTGTTCAATCATAATTAAAATTTGTTTTAGCTAAAAAAAATTATTAGTTATATGTATTGTATATTTTAATTGATTTATAATATAAAAAAATTTACACTAAAAGTGAATCAAAATATTTTTATTGGATGTTCTAATTTTTTTAAAACTAAAATATACTACTTTTAGTTTAATCCGTGTTGTGTTAGCTGTTTTGTTTCTGAAGTATACTAATAAAATATAGAATTTGTAAGTTGTGTGTTTAATCATAATTATTCTAATTGCAAAATTTGACTGTGTAGCTTGTTTTAGACGTTAAGTAATTTAAGTAAGTTAATATTGATTTAATCGAATATATATTGTATACATGTATAGTGACTGCATCTATCTATATTATTATAATTAATTATGTATCTGTATTTTCAGGCATTCCCTTTGAACTCGAATCTCACGGCTCACTTTTCAAGAGCCATCTTGAATGTGACTGAAAGTGATTTAATGAATAAGATTGAGCAAAAATATTTTGGGACGAATGATATTGGAGGACAAGACGAGTCTACGCAAATGTCTTCCTCAACTCCAAGTCTCACTATTCATAGCTTTGCGGGGCTCTTCGTAATCACAAGCATTGCTACTTTATTGACGTTACTTGTCTCTGAAACTGTGATATGGCAAAGGCCCATTTTAATGGCTAAAGCATACAGTCAGAAGATATTGTTCCCTGGTACTCCACCTTCTACGGAAACACGTGTTCATCCAAGTCACCATTCACAAGAGGGAATAGAAGCCGTTTAACAAAACCTTCTTCATGACTCCTTGCAAAAGGAAACTAAATCATGTGCATGTGTATAATATAGCATAGCAAACAACTTGTTGCATTAGAGTGCTTGTATGTGTGTATTATATGGCACAAATAGTAACAAGCTTTAGGAGGGTTTACGTCCGAACTTAGTTGGTGATTAATGTGCAGGTTGTGCACAATTATGTTGCTTTTTGGGATAAGTTGGGACTATAATTTGATCTTACACAGTTAAACATAACTGTTTATAATATTCTACCTTGTACTAGTCTAGCTTGCTCTGTATAGTATCTTATGCAAAGAAGCCATTATATTGCACCCACCCAATTTTTTCATAGCATTCCTTATAATTTTTTCCCATTCGGTAGTTAAAAAGAAAATATTTTTTTAATCCATGCAAAATTGCAATTGCTAACAAATTTATATATAATTTTTGTATTAAAAATTATAATATTTAATGGTATTAATGTATTAAATTTATAAAAAAAAATTAGAAAGAAATTGGCACTGTTCTCATTCTTATCAAAATATTATAAAAAACTACGAGCCTACACTCAAGTGGCAGTCTTTCTAAAAACCACTTCATTTTACATTTTAAAAATATTCTCAGACCACTTTTCCTTAATTATGAAATGCTACTCTTTTCTTCGTACCAAGCTCAAAGATCCCCCCTTACTCTCCCAATAAGGCTCGACACATGAAAAATATTAAGGTTTTTCTTGATTTTAAAAAATATTTTTTTCATTTTTAATTAAAAAATTGTAAGGTTGAATTCGTTTTATTTTTATTTTTATTTTTAAATACTTATATAAAAAAATAATAATAATAATAATACAAAATTATATTTGTTATAAAAATTTAAAATAAAAAAAAATATTGTGACAATTTTATAGTTATATTTTTTTTAATTCTTTAGGTTTTTAATGGTAGATTAAGGTATAAATTTGTGTTTCGTTTGAAAGGAGAAAAATAATTTAAAGTGAGAAAAACAATAATATATATATTTCGATAAAAATAAGAAAGGGAAAAAAAATTTCTTAAGTGAGAAATCAAGAAATGAGACATAAAAACATTTTTACTTTCAGAGAAAAGAAAATTTTATAAATCAATTATTATAGAAGTGATTGAGAAAATTAATTTAAGTATCCAAACAAGGGAATGGGTTACTATGAACACCTACATGTCCAAATACCAGGACCACTGAGGTCCCCATGCAGTATTTCCATGAACGAAATGGATGAATTTCTTTATTTGGCTTATTATAAAGTAAATTAAGCAAAGCTACCCAAGAAAAAGAAAGCAAATAAGGAACACACTACCTTTTTTTTTTGTCAAATTTTATTAAAAATTTAAAAATTATGTGTGGGAAAAATTAGTTTACGAATAAAAAAAAGTGAAATTTATGTAATTTTTAACAGATTTAATTAATAATAAAAATATGTTAAAAAGTGTATTATTAGTTTTATTCAATTTATAATATTAAAATAAATTCAAATTTTAACGAATTTATCACTAATTCAGAGACGTCAGCAGTCAATGTGACATCAGAGAATTCCAATTGGACGAGTAGATGGTCTAATTTGGAGACAAGGCATAGCCTATGGTTGACTAAGTTCTAGTGGAAATGGTGGTGCAGCCATGCACAAGGAGAACCAACATTTATGCAATAGTCTTCCATGTTCTCCCTCTATTGGGGAGAAAATTTTATCTCACACCCCTTAAGCATACCATTCTCCCTTCCCTCCTTTCTGACTTATCAAATGAGAGAAATAAAATCATTTTCACTCTATTTCTATTTGTTATTTCAATCAAAATATGTAAGTTCAGTATCAATAATCTTCTAAAAGAATATTTATAAAAATATAAAAATTATTTTTTATCAATTAAAATTAACTTATGTATATTAATTTTTAAACAAACTAAATAAAATTTTTATAGAAAAACACTTTTAATTTATAAAAAAAACTTCAGGGATTATTTGATTTTAAAAATATTTTTTTAAATTACAAATTTACTGCTATTTCCATTCTACTCCATATTTTTATAAAATTTATACAGAAAATACTAAAAATAAATTTTTTCTTATAATTTTATAAATTAAAAAAATAAAAAATTCATGAAATCAAATAACCTCTTAATTTATATTTTCTTTTTTTTATATAAATATTTATTTAAAAATTATCTAATCAAAAGTAATCATTAACTACTATGGATAACAAAGCTCACCTTTTGAGTATTTAATAAAATTATTATTATTTTAAAAATTCCTTACAAGTTGATCTACGTTTTCAGCAATGAATTACTTGTATTTTACATGTATAAATAGTATAAAAAAAAAGTGGTGTTGTGATTTAACTACATGTATTGCACTGTTGTCCCTTAAAGCGAATGAATCTCCCTCTTGAAAAATTTAAGTCCGTAGTAAGATATACAAGGGATGCTCTGTCCAAAGAAACAAATATTAATTTTTAATAGGACAATTACATTGAACTATCTTGGTATTGGTAGTAACTATGCTTAAACCGTGCTTAATCTATATATTGCAAACTTCTGTTATTTTATATATTTTTCTTACACATTGGTATTCATTATTTTTATATATTAATCATACATATGATATAAGAAACAAAGGAATTAGGTGTGAATTCTAAATGAAAGATTATTTAGATGTATTTACTGTTAAGAACAGGAAAGATTAGTATAACTATCCTCCCTTTTCAATGTAGTACACAAACATTTGAAGTCATCTAATACACGAAACTTCATTTGACATACGATCAGTTCTTCCAAGATATTGACCACCCCTCACCCTCCTCTTCCAACCCCTATCTATACTCACAAACTTGTTCTCATATCACCGCTTAGTACAAGATATAACATAAGCCTTTTTAATTGAGTATACCCACGAGACAGAGACCACACTTCGTTTGTTTTGGCTATCAAAATACGCAAGGTATATTCCGTTGAGTCATCGACTTCTTGGATCTAACTAAATCAGAGCAGATTCTTGTAGTTAGTATTTAGCAATTTCTCGTAAATACACGATAAGACAGAAATCAGTAACTGTTCTCCTTTTTTTTCTTTCTTTAATTCTAGCTAGAGACGTTTTAAACTTGAGGTCTGCTTTTATATTATCCTAACAAGCGGTAAGTCTCATACGGCTCTCATTATCAAATCATTTAAGCCTGAGTTTATTTCCCTCTCTTCTTATTCATATGTTCATATTTAGCATTAAACTTATGCACAAAGATGACATATCAGCCCTGTTCGTATTCATCTTCCTTTACGGACGATATCACATTTGATGATGAACAGTGAGCACAGTCAGGGACCAAATGAAAAGGTTGTCATAACCCTACCATGTAAATTCTCTCCAACTACCTATTTTTCAGACAACTCCGCAATTGCGGGCAATATTGACCGCTCCAAAGATGATTAAAACAGGAATTTCTTAACAAAAAAGAGAAGAGAAGACTTTTCCACAATAATTTTTCCTTATATATATATAATGAAACGCCAATGCCCAAGATTGTGTATAATACACATGCCTTCCATGACTACGAGCTATGGAAACCATCAAAGAATTGCTTTCCACTAATCACAAACTAGACTTTTGCAATAAAACAACAAAAGAAGAAATTTTATTTTTTACAACATCAAACTCTCCATATAATGGAAAGCCAGAACCTAAGATTGCATATTATACACAACCCTTTCATGAATCCCAGCTATGGAACAGCCAACCACCTAGGAATCACTTGCCACTAATCACAAGAGACTGGAAGGGCTCCCTCTTTATTTCCACGAACGTGGAGAAATCTTTGCTCAATGGCTGTTTCCAGGGTTCACCATCCATTTGCATATAGGAATTTTTCCAGGCTCCACCTCTGACTTCCAATCGAATAGCTGATGCCTGAAAGATATAAATATAATTCAACAGTGAAGAGAGAGAGAGAGACAAGTAAGACAGACTAGTCATTGAGAAAGAAATTTCAAAGTGCCAAATGATGGCAAAATAAACAAACACGGGAGAGTATTCACATTCACAGGTGAACTATGACCAGATATGTCAACAAGTGCCATATAAAAGAGAAGAGAATGCAACCTCCATATCGACAGACGAGAGAAAAGGTTTTCACGCTGTCCAATTTAATATGAAAGTAAACTCAACTGTGAGGTTGTAAATTTGGAGTCCAGTAACAATAACTGCAAGCCGTTTATAGTTTAGGAATTTCAACAGTATTGCAAATAAAGTGGCTAAGTTTTCTTCTGTGTAATAGCAGTGGCTTTAAACCACCTTTTGCTAGAAAACACATTTGTTTAGGGGGTCAAGATATACTAAGAAGTTCCTAGCCCAAGGTGCTCAAATCATACTACTGCTATACTTATGTGCAGGGTTTATTTCTAGATCTTGCTATATTCTATTAGTCACCTACAACAAAGTGAAGATATCAACACATAAACCATCTACAATGAGAATTTTCAAATCCAACAAGCCAAGAACAACCAGAAAATACACACTTTTAACTATTTAGAATGTATCCACCTCTCTCATACACGAGCAATAAGGAATCTTAAGTTCAAAATTTTGCATTTGAGAAGTAAAAAATTCACCCAAAAACATAAAGTGGTACCTGAGCTATGTGCTTTGCAGAGATCAGTTCAACCATGACAAACGACGCATGCCATCCTTGCTTTAAACCAAATATCTCCAACAGCCCATCGGCAACATCAGCTTCAACAAAGCCTCTCTGGAAGTACATGTAAAAGCCTATTCAGTCAAACAGTTAAAGTTGAATAACACTAACAATTTCATCAAGTTAGTTTATATTCAGTATTATTACACATCTAGTACTAGATTTTAAAAACAAAAGAACAAGAGACTGAATGCTTTCATATCATCAAATAAGGTATTATTTTAGGCAACATGAATATAGTACCTTTTCCAAGTATTTTGGTTTCAGTTTACCCCATGGGTTTCTTCCACTTCCATAGCTATGAAGATTCAAAGCAACAATTGCCCTTACACTGAAAGGAAATAACATAACCTTATCATGCAACATGGAACAAACCAAAAACTTCACCAAAGATACTACTAATCTATTACTACATTCACAACTTACTAGGTAAATTTAAAGCATTCAGAATTTCCAAGAACTTATCCAAGGAGTTAAAAACTATTAAATAAGGAAGAGATGCACAATTACTTGCCAGCAACTACAATATGGTAAAAGGTAAGAATGCCTGTTTAGAAAACATTAATTTATTTACCACATGAGATAGAAATTTACCTTGTTGGAATTGTGACCGGCTCCCACTCTGAGCAATTGACCCTTTTGATATGCATCCGCAAAATGTTTCTAAGCCCCCTAATGCCAGAAAGGATTTTTAAGAGTATAGTAATAAGGAATACTATGAGCCATATAAATAAGGATTTTTAACAGAACTTATCCATATGACAATTTTTTTATCAGGCAAAAATGCACATAAAAGAAATGCAAATAGAAAACATACTTCAGAGGACCCATATAAATACAAAGGATGAAGAAAAAGAGGGTAGGGGGGAGATAGAAAGAGACTTGGAATGTTTCCGTTGAGAAAACCAAATCCAAATTTCAGATTAAGTGGCACATATACACCAACTGCTTTTTAACAAGTTATAGCCCGGTAACTATGTCCCTCTCAAGTCCTCTTCCAAAAAGAAAATGAATCACTGCACAGAAGGTAAATTTAATCTTCCCTAGTGCCTATATACATCATCATTCTGGATTTAACCATATAATTTTCACCATTAAATTTCTGCAAAACTACCTTAGACACTGCCTGCTAAATGTTAAAAAGTATCACTTCAGCCAGAGTTTCAACATAAATGAAATGATATTATAATCCAAGTTCATCTCTCATATGATAACTTGTATCAACATCCAGCCATGTTGAAATAAGCTGCAGATCACCATAATTTCTACTTTTGTCACAAACTCAGACAAAAGGTTTGTGCTAGAAAAAGAATATCTATGTCAAATTGACCATATTGGAAAGACTGGAATGACTCAACTCAACTAAACTCAAAATCATGCGTTTATTACAAGCATAAGCTACAAAGTCGAGCATAAATTTCTCCATTTTGTTTCAGCAGTCATGCCACTTGTTGCAGTTGAAGTGATTAATTGCATACATATTTTGGGCAGGAAAAACTATATTTACTAGTCAAAGGTGAATCATGACATTACTTAGGGAAATGAAAGCAATCATTCCTTTGTTGTTCCAGGCTAACTAGTGAAAATGTTCAACTTACTCAAAGGTCAAAGCATTTCAAGTTTAACAGTTGAGGAATAGATTCTCTCGTGTACCAATTTCACATGATAAGATCATATTTAAGTATTGTATCTATCTCCATTGATAGATATCAAATAAAAGGGGCCCTATCAAAATTATTAGATATAGATGCAAAATTTGCAAGAGATGATCTAAAACTCTGTGTCAGACCTTCTGTCAACTTGTATTGTTAATTCTTTTACAGTAAGAAAAGAAGACAATTCTTGTTCCATTAGTGAAATAACCCTTTTCTAACTAAGAGCAATATCTGTGTCACATGAGGTTAAAAACGAAGCAAAAATTATCACAACATTTTGCTTTTTCTGATTTATCACAAGAATAAAGCTGTTTTAGTTGGCATATATCTTACCTTAGACCTGGATCACTTGTGCAAGGTGTGAAAAACCAGCCTTGTGTGCAACTGTATCCAGAGTATATAATCTACGGCCAAAAAGAAAAGGATTGATCACAGTCCATTCTTGAGTAAATCCATTATATCATTTTTAGGATAGACATGGTAGCAATTAGACTGTTAACACCTAGCTAAAATGTTAATGAAAAATATGGTGCGCGGCTTAAAGAAAAAAAGGGGGGAAAATACAGATTCCCAGCTAAAAAAGGTAACATCAAATAAGTAAATTGAAACAAGCAAGAAGGTAACTTAATTTATATAACACATTCAACAGCTCCATAGATTTGATACCTTATTTGCAATTGGACCATTTGCAAGGTATGGTTTGTCATTCCGTAGATGATGGAAGCCATAAGCTACTTGGGCATCCATTCCTGCAAAACATAACAGGATATTCTAAGAGCGCTACAAAATACAGATTAGAGATTCAGTTGAGCCCATCTGAAACGTTTCCATCCTAAAACAACACCCTGATTCCCTGAACCAAGAAAGCCATAACATTTCAAGTTCCTTTATTATACGTACATGCACACTCAAACAGGTCAAGAAAACATGAAAAAAAATAAAATCTCAGGTATAAAGGAATTCTCAATTCATTTCAGTGAGACAAACGGTCACCAGCTTGCTTAAGCTCACAAGCCATTGTTGCACAAAATAGTTGTTGGCCCAAAAGTCAAACTTCAAGCATAAAAAATACATGCAAGATAAGTCAGGAAGTCCATTATTAAAATACAGGTTAGGATACATGAATATTAAAATTGAATACCATGTTGGGAGCAATTTGGCTTTAAAATTGTAACTTCATTCTCAAATCTTAATGATTAATCTCAACCAACAAGGCAAAGGTACTAAAACCAACAAGATAATACCAACCTCACAAATAGTCATTTTAGGCACCAATATGACACACTATGAATGTACAAATCAAAGTACCTATGCTGAAGTAATTATAGAATACGCCTTCATAACTTGCAACTTTTTCAGGAAGCTCTCCCTCAATTTCAACACCCTACAGAAAGAAGACAGAAGAAACTTTGTACATTACAACCCAAATAAGGGATAGTCATTATAAAAGTATATTATCATTAAAATTTATAGAATAATCAAGCATCACTATTTCAACAAATGCACTTGAAAAATATATTTGATATTCATTATTTTGGTAAGTAGCTGTGATTTCAAGAAAAACATCAAACATCACCAAAGATGTTTACTAACTTAATCCTTTGCTACGTCTACATACATGTGAAGGATATGTACTTGGAAACCAAATCCTCTATGATGAACAAAACATTGCTAATACAAAAGAAGCCTAACTAATTCATATACAATGATAAAACAAGTTAATAAGAAACCAAATTCACAACCTGATCAAGAGTAAACTCTTCTGTATGCTTCAAACAATGTGGTAGGTTCACAGGTGTGCCTTCTGGCATTGAAAGTGAAACTCGCCAACTGCATTGAAAAAATAAATTATACCAAATCTTATATGTATCACACCGCAGAGAGAAATGAATAAAGTATATCTCCATATAAAACTTAAATTCTACATTTTCTTAGAAGTTCATCCATGCTTTCCATGACACTAATAATGGCAAAAGTTGAAAGCTGAACTAATTTAGTTCTGTGAGTTCATATCTACAATCCAAATAAACTTAGTGGAGGAAAAAAATATAAATTATAAGCAAAGCATACAAATGTGCAATACCTATCCAAACGGTGAACTGGTCCAGTAGTAGCCCTATATAAACTTTTCTTAATAGCTGCCTTCCATGCAAACGGAAATGATCCACCCTGAAAAATATCAGAAAGACAGATCAGCATAGTAGTTCCAAGTCAAACATTCAATTAGCCCATAATTTCCAAGCATATGAATGCTTACCCAACGAAAACTCCTAGATAGGTCATTGCCTGTGCCCAGTGGTATGATCCCTACAGGAGGAACTGGCTCTCGACCCTGGATGCGAAGTTCCGTAAGACATCCTAATACCCAGCCAACTGTACCATCACCCCCAGCAACCTGTCCAATCAACCAGTTTCATTCATCCAACGTGACTGCTAATATAGCAATATAAAATGAAATCGAATACTTGAATTCAGCGCATACCATTATCCCCATTACGTCCGACTAGAATTTTAATTAACACAATCTTTTTTAAAATAAAAAAAAATAACAACATATTCATTCACTTGTCAATCATTCTTCATCGATGCATTTCACCTTTATTTAGAAGGGAAAAAATAGAATAAAATAACTAATCCTTAAATTTCCAATTTTCTAAATTAAGCGCACAACGGGAAGAAACCAAACATGGAACCCAAGTTTAGCAGTCATAGATGATGAGGAACAGAGAATCCAGAAATTCTCAACAGCTTATGCAATAACACACTGCACTTTACCACGTTAAATATAACATAGTACACGTTCCAGTTGTCCTATCAACATACCATAACCCTGATTCTTTCACGAGTGTCTTTGGCACAAGAATCACCAAGACTTGATAACAACTCCAGGCAAGCCAATCCATGCCGTACAAATTCATGAGGCTTCACATCTGAAAGGTCAAAAACCTACAGTGTACAACCAAACAAGAATTATACAAGGAAAAACGAAACAAATTTAAAGAAAATAATGCGAGTAAAAATTTAAGCAACGAAACCACATCCAACAACTCATTAATGTAACTTGAATCTCAATACGCGTAAGATCGAAAGGAAAAAGAAAAATTATATGACAGAGGACGGTAATTCTCAAAGCAATAGCAGTGGCTATCACCAGTAGAATACTTCAATACTTCCACTCCCGGATAATTAACCCCTCAGTTTCAGTAGTTTCACCATCTCTCTCACTAGATCCAATTAATTTCACGATTTCCTCTGTTTAGCGACATTCGATTCAGACAAAACGAGCAAGCAACAGAAACCGTAAACCAGTGCGAGCAATTTGAAGAACGAGGAAGAGGAAGAGGAAGAGGAAGAGGAAGAGGAGAAAATGAGAACCTGCTCTTCACTCATGAGTTGCTGAAGCCTCTCCTTGAGAACAGGACCGTGGCGACCGCCGCTGCGGGGATTGATGAAGACGACCATGGGACAAGGCGGAGCGGTAGCATCCTCGTCGTCAGTGCGGCGCAAGTAGCGGGACTCGCCGGCGGCAGGGTCCTGAAGGCGAATGGAATCCCGCATTGCGAAACGAAGATACTGCGGCATGGTGAGCTGCTTCTTCAACTCCTCCTTATCAATTCGAATCCCAGAGAAACCGCAGCCGCGTAGTGACTCCACAATCGACGACCTCACCGCTATCTTGTTCGTGTCGCCGGTCATCGCCGGCGAATCCATCTTCTCTCTCTCTTTCTCTCCGCGACTCGATTCTTTTCGTAACACCGTTGGCTTCGCTGGACAAAAAATTCAAATGAAGGGAAGAATATATTTATTCATTTATTATTATAATGTGTTGTAATTGTGGGTATGAAGGGTTTGGGTCTTACTGTGACTGCAGTCCGCACGCAGGCAAAGACGAAAGTCCAATGAGAAAATGGAGTTTGTAGCGGTGATTTCACTTTCAAAAAGGTTGTGTTGTTATGTATTATGCCGTCATTGAAACGTTTTCTCTCGCATTCGGAAAATGCCCTCTCCTGTGACCGTTATTTACGAAAGAGGTGCTTTTCTTTTCCAACTCACACGCCCCACCCAAACCATTGTCCAGTCCACGTGCCTCGTCATTATTGTTTTCTTTTCACCCCCAACCTGTTTTCTTCTTTTTTATTTTTTGGAAATTAAGAAACATCGAAGCTGCTCAAAATATAAAAAAATAAAAAAACCTGTAAAATATCAATTCCAGCGTTGAATTCATATTTCTTCTAGACATTAGAAAAATTAAACAATGTTTAAACTATTTTAGTACTTTTTTGTGTGAGCAAACTATTTTATTGGTCCAGATAATAAACTTTTTTTATTTTAGGATTAAACTATTTTAAAATATCAATTTAGTCATTTGTAATCAACAATTACGCGTTGAATTGGACAAATGAATAAGAATGTTTTGCTGGTACTTGCCGATTTATTCACCGCCAAAAAGTAAAATTCTTATTCAATAAATAGCATGTCATTATTTGAAAAGCTAAAATATCGTTAAATAAATGAGTTCTGAATTTAAAACTACGAGTTGGAGTATTCCTTTTCTATTAATATGTCCAGTGTGAGACATATAAAACTAAACACTTAAATGCAAACAATAGTTTAACTTTAACTTACATTTATATTTAAATGCTTCATTCATTTTTTATCTACTTATTTGACGTCGGTCCATCGTAAATATGAGTTGTGAAATAATTATTGCAAAAGTGAAAAATAAATAAAAACAAACGTACCATTAAAGAATTTTACTGCTACGTACGATTGTTTGACTTAATACCTGTGGTAAGTGTTGAATCAATTTAATTGTTTAATAAATATCCTTCAATGTATTTATATAGATAGTGTAACACTAGAGCCCATAAATTTGATCTGCATATGTAATTCACGTAAATTTGCATATAAACAGGGGTATATTAGAGAGCAATTAACTTATGGAGAGAAGGATTGAGAAATTTTCAGAAGACATCCGTTAATCACTGGTTATAAAGCATATTGTTTAAAACTTATATATATAATATTTAATGAAAATAATTTTATTAATTAATATTTTGAAACCAAAAAAAAAAATCTCAAAGGAATGAACGGCATTTTGAAACAAGGAAGTAATAATGTAAAAGAAAACAACCTGTAGAAAGGAATAAAATAAATGAATTATTTCTTTTGATAAAAGTAAACTGCTAATAAGAGCATCAAATGTTATTGCTGAGACATGAGGTAAAACTTAAATTAATTAAGAAATAAATCACGAGAGAAATGTTTTTATTTCTTCCCATTTAAATGTTTTATTAAATATAAGTTTGACTTGCACGTTAAAAAATCATCAACAATAACGTGTGTTATAAAATTTTAGAAAATTGACTCTTGTAAATGTTAATTAGTTTTATAAAATATTTAAATTTAAATAAAGAATAATTTAGTTTTTATTTTTACATTACACATTTTTTTGTATTTTAGAATAGCATGATTCAAATTTAATTATTACGTATCTAACTTCCCAACAAAACCAGAAACTAATTAAAGGGTCATTCTGACAACCTAACTAGAGGATGTAGCAGTAGACAACCAGGCCTTAAGAACGAGGAGCACACACAGTAGACAACTAAAAACTACCACATTAAATGAGTTCTAATAACATTGAGTTAATGAAGAGTGCTGGCAGTATAGCAACATACTACTTAAAAATAATAAATTATTAAATTGTCAAAATTTTAAAAATGTTAATTTTTATCAAAAAATATTTATTATACTGTTATAACTTTAATTTAATGAATATCTTTTTTTATACAAATTCCATATAAATGTTCATACTTAACCCTAAAATATTAAATATTTATATATTATAAATTTATACTATGATTTATAAATACTTATAATATTAAAATAATAAAATTAGTGATTTGTATTAATTTTATTCTTATATATATATACTAAAAATTTTAGTCTCTATATATATTTTTTAAACAAAAGATTTGTATAGTATCGTTAATAACTGAGATAAAACAAACAAAATTATCAATCTAACTCAACTAACAAAATATTGTTTTAGTTTAATTTTTTTTAAAAAATTGATGTAAATTAAATCATAAATAATTTTATAATCAAATCGAATGAAATTTTATTTAAAATTGGACAAATTTATTTCTTCTGCTTATATATTTCTAAACATCCATTAATGTTCGATGATGATAATAAATATGTTTGAAATTTGCTTAACGTGTAGTCTCACGTAAACCTATTTTATTTATGCTCGCTCCACCCACTGACATATTTCCCTTCACCCATTATACCATTTTTATGGCAACAGATGCTTTTTTTTATTCTGCAGAATTTACAGTACTATTTATTTTCTTTTCACCGATGAACAAAACATTTAAATGAGGAAAAACATATAATTTTTTTAATTAATTACTCACTTCTTTTGCATTATTACATATCAATAAAACATTAATATGGGAATTTTGTTTGTTTTTGTTTATTTATCACTTTAAAAAAATGACAAAACAAGTTATGTTTATCAGTTATACCATTATCTTAAAATGAACAAGTAATAATTACCAAGAAGACCAGATCAATAAAATTCAAATAAAATGAAAATTTTATTAAAAATAAGAATGCCGTTTTTTTAAATTATGTAAATCCAAAAATACAAAACAAAGGGGAGAAGAGTATTAGAAGAGTATCCAAAATTTATTATGATACAACCAAATTGGTCATTTTCCCTGATATATAATGAAAGATTCTCCATACAAAATAAATAACAGAGAGACAATAATTTATTTATACATTTTTTTTTATAATTTTCAAATTTTTGGGTAGGTTGATGTGATGGTCTGACGGCTTTTAACGTGTTCTGTTCTTAATTATTAGACAAAGGGGAGAAAAGATGAGATTGGGTTGTTGAAAGTTAAAACTTAAAAAAAAAAAATGAAATTGTGAAATTGAATGATTGGAAATTGTGAATCCACCGTGGATTGAGTATAAAATGAGTGAATGTGCATGGGACATGAATGTGCATGGGACATGGTGGTGGTCATATATAATAATAATAATAATATAACATAACATACCCATGCCACAAAAAGGGCTTGCGGTGGTTTCGTTGAAAACGCAAGGACAATTACGGAAAAACAATATTCTGAATTCCTGAGCGATTAATAAACATGATCCACACGGTTTTGACAGTTGATTCCGTTTGTGATGACTTGGAATTACAAATTTTAATAAATATATGCAGCTATTATTAATTATAGTATATATTTTAATCATATTATTCAAATTTAATTTTATTAAAATCATTTCAATCCACCTATGTTTTAAATATGAATAATGTTAATTTCAATTATTTTTTGAGGTTGATACAAATAATAAGATTTTGATTTAATTATGTTTTTTATCCTTATAAATATAGTTATTTTTGTAATTAGTCCTTACAAATATTTTTGTTTGGAAGTAGTTATTCTAAAATAAAAAATTAAGAAATGGTCCATGCCGTTAATTTTTTTCTGTTAAGTGCTAAGCTGACTAACAGAAAACTAACTCAGCATTTCATGTAGCTATTTTGAAGTTCATCATAGTCTATGTGGCATATCATATCATTTATTATTTTTTATTTTAAATTAAAATTTACAAATAAATTCCTGAACCTATTTTATATGATTGCATAAAAATCTTTTTTCTTCTACATACCAGTACCTCTCCACCACCTCTATCCCGACTCTTTTTCCCATGGCCACTCCTTCTCCTTCTCCTTCTCCCTCCTTAGATAGCCACTCCTCCCCTTCACCTGCACACTTCCACCCACACCTACACTCCTTCTTTTTCCTCTTCCCCACACTTTACCTTCCTAACCCCAACCCCAACTCTAACCTCCACTATTCCCCCAATGCCCACACTTTCATTCTCATCCACACCACCCCTTCTCCCTCTCTAACCCACCTTGTCCCACTATAACCCCCACACCTCCCCACTACCCACTCCATCACCCTATCCTTCTTCACTACACACTCTATCTAACCCCTTCATCTCGCCGGTGTTGGAATTGATGTGTAGTTTGATTTTATTTTTTTTTATGTTATTCAATCTCGTCAGTGACAGAGAGAATGTGCTGGAAGTATTGGTGAAAAATCCTTCACTTGTCTTTCTTCTTGATTTTGAGGAGGAACGTGGTGGCGGCAATGTCATTGGTCCATGAGAGCTTGGCACCGAGAAAGGTGTCGTGGGCGGTGTGGTTAGGGTCAAGATGGAGGAAGATATCGCAGGGATTGGGCCTAGAGAAAAGGTTGGTGAAATTAGAGTCTTGGACGGAAGGGAGAGAGTCTAGGTAGGTGAGGATTTTGTGGTATAATTAAATTTTCTTGAAAATGATGATTGTAGAGTGGAAATATGAGAAATCCAAAAAAATACACAAAAGTTCCAACTTTTCATGATTTCAAGCAAAACTCATATGCTTTCCAACTTTTCATGCTTGGGACCAGCACCACTTGAAAGACCAACATGATAAGATGGGTGGTGTGAATGAGTTGGTAACAAGCCTGAGATGTGAAAGAGAAAGCTTTTATGGGTTCAATTGATTGAAAGCCACTTAAATGGACTCGTTCTAAAAGCTTGTCTTCTCGAGGCTCAGGTTTTAGCCACTCAAGTAGCTTAAGAAAAAATAAAGAAATGGATGCTTGAAGGGGATTATGAGGGAGTGGGAAGGGAAAGGGAAGAAGGGATGCTTGAAGTAGGTTGTGAGACTGAGGGAGGAGGAAGGGAAAGGGAAGAATGAGTGCTTGAAGGAGGTTGCGAGGGCGGGAGAGGGGAAGAAAGGAAGGGAGAGGGACTGTGGAGAAGAAAGAAAGTTACAAGAGTTTTTATGCAATTATATAAAATAGATTCAGGAATTTATTTGTAAATTTTAATTTAAATAAAAAATAATAAATGATGTGACATGCTACGTAAAATGTAACTGAACTTCAAAATGACTACGTAGTACCACGAAGATTAACGACAAAAACTATTTTCTAATTTCTTATTTTAGAAGAAACACTTCATAACAAAAATATTTGTAGGAACTAATCACGAAAATGACTATATTTATAGAGAACAAAAACATAATTAAGCTAAGATTTTTATATTCTATTATTTTTAATATAATTAATATATAAATGTTAAATTATTATATTTAAATATTTAATTTTAACTTTAAGAGTTGAAGTTGAAAGAATTTTTAATATTTAACATAATTAAAAATGAACACATGATAAGATAATCATCAGCCGATGTATAGAAACGTTCTTAATTTTTTTAAATTTTAAAGTATAACATATATTGACAATGCAATGATAAGATCAAACGTACGTAAATTTCAGCTCTACACTTGAGAATTTTTTTGAAGACTTGAGACTCTTCTGATACCACTCATACCAAATACACGACTTGTCAATGTCTGAAAATTGAACATTCGAAGCCCTTTTCGTCAGTGGGAAAAGGTTTGTGCTCGTGGCGCATGCGCTGTTCTTTGTCTTGTCTCCCATTCATGGGAAATCGCAGCGGCGGGGTTGTCTCTTTGGACATCTTCTAGATAAGGCATTAAAATTCCTGGCTATATTAAAAGAATCTTACTAACTAACGTTGATTAAAAAATTAATAAATAAAATTTATTACAAATATATTAAAATTGTGTGAAAAGTAATTTATTATATTTTTAAATAGAAATTATTTTAAATTTTCTAATTAACATTCGTAAAATATCAATTAGTATTTTTCATATTAAAAATGTTTGTATTTTCATATTATATGTCACTTAATATTAACATCAACGTACAATATCATTATTACTTTTAACAATTATTATAATTGAATAAATTAATTTGACTAAAACTTTATGTAATCATACTGAACATTAAATCTTGTATCGTTACTGTTAACCAAAAACAAAAATCTTGTATCTTTATTTAATTGTATTCTACTCCTATGATCAGGGAAATATATTATCGCCAAAAAAGAAGAAGATATAATATTAAAATATGCTAGAAATTGTTTAAAATATTCATTTAATGTACAACACTATCTTTTTACTCGATTTTTAGAATATCTTGCGTCATACATCGTTTCAAATGCAACTGCTTCAAGCTTCTTTAGGGATCGGCATAGCCAACCAACATACACATTCAACATAATTTCTATTATTTGCTATACTTTCCAACTTCGACACCTCAAGCAAACAAAACAGCATCCCATATTCGCTTATTCTAAATATTTGCATTCTGTTCTTTTGGCCAACCAATATTTGCATTCAAATGCCAATAATTAACCTAACAGCATACTATTGCTAAACTAGCAAGTCGCAATTACTTGAGGGGAGCGTTGCGTATTCCTTCACAAAATTTTGAAAACAAATAACAATGATAAGACGACATTTTCGTAATTATAATGAAACATTAATTAAAAATTCAAAAATAAAATAAACCAAACACAAAGCGTACATTTCATCCTTAACAGGGTTAATTCTAAAAGATCAAAAGCATTTTGTAGAAAAGGAAATTAAAATTAATGTCTTAAAAAGTAATCGCGTAAGATAATAGAAATCATCGCAGATTGTCTTTCCATGTCAAGAAATTACAGGTAGGCTTATTATCCAAGACAGCAGAAGTTGATATGTTTTCAACAATGACATTGCCATCGTGATCAATTCTGTAAGAGACATTAAGTCCCTCCAAAATCAGGTGATAAATTACTTCGTTGGAATTTAAAGCGTTCTGCTCTCTTTCATGGAGTAAAGTTGTTTCATCTTGCCGCTCATCTACATCAGAAGTATTACCCAATAGTTCACCGTTGTCTTTTTTCAGGAGAGTGTCATGAGGCCGATTCCGTTGACTCAATGACCGAATATCCCATGAAAGGACCTGCTTTATCAAGCTTTGGAACTCACTTGACGATGCATAAAGTGATTTCTTTTCCTGAAGCAGTATGGGAGAATCATCATCCCTATGATTTGCATTACGAGAAGATTGAAAATTGGAAAAAGAATACAAAAATTCATGTGTTCATATTCATCATGCAATATAAAACAACCAACGCCTTTTCCCACTGGTTTCAGCTTAATAAGTCAAGTGACATAATTGGGTTTTGTTAAGAACCATTTCTCCAAAGAGGCCAATTAGATCTAAATCAATTTTAGTAGTTTTACTCAGATGACTTTGGTCTTAATCTACATTTAATTAACAGGCTTTCCTCCGTTTGATCACCTATTCTAAGTAGGGCCAGGGTATTCTTTTAGCTTCCGCTCACTTATTTTGTAATATGAGGTTAAAAGAACGATCTAGTGCATGAGGCTCTCAACGAGTGGGACTGGGAATTCTGTAAGTCTTCCTCTCATTCATTTTGTAATATAAGGAAAAAAAGCGACCCAGTACACAAGGCTCTCACCAACAGGGATCTGGGTAGGATAAATGTACAAAGTCGTCCCACAAGAAGGGAAGCCGTTTCTAGGAATTGAACCCATGACCTTTTAGATTGCAATGCAGAAACCAGACTGTAAAATATCAAAAATTGCATTCAGCATTTGTAAGGCTTTAAGAAAAATCTTGTAAGCCTAGTTAAGAAGCTAAAACAATTCTTTTTAAATATAATATGACACCAACTAAAATATAAGCAAATAAAACCAGTACTGAATAATTAAGGTTAAGAAAAACTGAGATTAATAAAAGCTCCATGAGGTATGACGATCAGAGTCATACACCTCTTTATTTAAAGATATGAAAGGTTAAATTACACAGTGAAACTGAAAACCAAAGGGGTGAATCTATTATGGTTACTGACAAAAATTTCAAATACGCAGTTAATCAAGGCTTAATTTAATCCCTATAATTTCAAGCTATGCCATTTCATTCCCTGATTTTCTAACCTTTTCAGTTGAGCCACTTAATTACCATTTCTTTTCAATGTAATCTTTACCATTAACTAAGTTATCAAATTAAAACAGTCAAGGGATTGCTTTGCTAATGTTCCTAATTGATCTTAGTGTTTCTATGTTTTGGGGGAAGGGTTGACATGATGCATTCAACTTTCAAGTGAGTAGTTAAAAACTCACTGCCATCATCCAGCAATTTTCAAGTGCTGAAGTGAAGTCCTCCGAAAAGCTAACAGAAGCTACTGAAAGTAAGTTATCCTCCTGAAGAAAAACATTTTTTTTTTCTTAGGATGAGATAATAATTTATTAAACTTCTAAGAAGAGATGTAAGAAAATATCATACTACTCGGATATTTTTCATTGCTGATTCTAGACGTGGACCATAATTGAAAGTTTCCAAAGAATCAGAATGCAAGAATAGTAGAGTTTCAGTGACAAGTAAAAAGTAATGATGGTTGATTATATATCATTCTTCCCACATGGGATGATTAAATTTAATATCCAGGTAACAATTGCTTGCAGTTACTTATAGTAATCTACATTGAAAAATCAAATTGATAAAATCTGTTAAGAAAGATTAAAATATATATATATATATATATATATATATATATATATACTAGCTGAAGCATTACCATTAACCAATTTGGCACTGTAGCTTCTCGGATGCTGTCACAATACGTTAGATACGGCTTGACATCAAGCACTGGCTGTTGTTGAGATTCAGAAGCATCATGATTACATATTCACAGAAACACATAAAATTCATAATAAAATAAATAACAACACAAGTGGCACATAATTCCAGTAAAGTTAGCATAAGTAAGGATTGGCAATGGAGACTTACAGTTCCATCAACCAGATCCACACCAGAGAGCAAAATCATATTTCCCTGTACAGCTTCTACCTATAGCTCACAGTTAGATCAAAATAAAAGTCACAAAAGTGGGTTCATCATTTATTTATTTGAAGACTAAAATTGAAATTCTAGGAATTGGATGGAAAAGAACACAGAAACAACACGAAAAAAATATAAAATTAATAAATGTGACTCCATAGCTGCGATGCAAAAACACTTTTTTGGGAAGGGAGGAGAGGAGTTATTTACAAAGCACCTTTTATTAATATAAAACTATTGTTTTTTATAGAGAAGTGAAAATATCCCAACACTAATTTAAAACTAACAGGGTTGCAATCTATCTTTAGTACAAGGACCTGAAATCCCAAATTTTGTCTTAGGAATATATTTGTCACAGGCTTGTGACAATTCAGAAGCATCAAGAGAAAACAATAAAATCTATGGATAATAAAGGATACTGTGATATTCCGGAGACATGAAGGTCATTGTGGTTTACCAGTCTCCAAAATTGAACAATGTGCATTAAACCATAGTAATATGAATCAACAGAATGATACAAAATATTTTGATTGGCAAAAGCATGTCAGAAGCATCCCACAAGGCCAATATGGATCCTTACCTTTGCTACTGTGAGTCCAATGGGGGATGGCCGGTGCGGGGATCGTGTGGCAAACACTCCCATTCTCCCACCTTTCAGTCTTGGGACCCTCACCTATTCATCCACCAGTTCATAAGAAAAGTTGTCTTCTAGAAAACCAAAACTGAGGCAAGAAAATGCCACACAGACAAGCTATTAGCTAATCAGTTACACTAAAGGCACACACCTTGGCTTTGAACCCTGATTTAGAAGGATGCTTCCACAGCTTCTCAAGATCGGTATTCAAATGAAACACATACAAAATCCAGCAATGAGAATATTCCCCTAGACCCTCTAAAGATGCCGGTGGAACACGAGCTGTATTAAAAACCAAACAAGCCCTTGCAAGCGGTACAAGCAACGGTTGCCTTGGCGTTCCATTCCTGCACTAAATGTGAAGCAAAGGTTCATTATCCATTAAAGCAGCGAGTAATATGCTCTCAACAGAGAAGGAATCCAATATACCTAGTAGAGAAGCATGAGTGAACAACACCAATGGAGGTCATGGGATAACAAGTGAGGTTTAGGTTTTCAGATTTAGGTTGCGAGTGCGTTAGTTCTTTTCTCAAGGCCTAAAATCAGCCAAAGAATTAGAAATTCATAAATGAAGTAAATGGAGAAGTGTTGTTGAAGAATGGAACCTGTTGGGCCCTAATTCGGCCCTGTCTCTCAGAGGCGCATTTGTCAGAGGAAGACTTGAGAGAAGCCTCAAGCTCTTTGATCTTGGAGTTGAGAGAATTCAACTTTCTCTTCAATAGGTACGCTACCATTGCCAAAAAGAGAAATATAAGTATGAGCGATTATAACAGTTTAAAATTGATGGAATGGGGCTTAGCATATACCAGAGATGGAAATGGCTGTGAATGTCATGGTTATGCTCAGTGTCAACCATTTTGTTTCTGAAATGCTACCGCGCAATCGCATCACTCAAACACTCGAGCAGCTTCTGCTGAATCTTACACTTCAGTTCCAACGACCCACTTCTCAATCACTCCTACATCGTTATATTTGTGGACTACTCAGAGCGGGTTGGACAAGGCCTTAAAACGAATATTTTTGGACAAAACTTCTGTTTATTTTTTCAAATATCTTCTTTTGTTCAAGATAAACTTTTACCTTTTTAACTTGGGATTAAATTAAGAATCATTTTTAATCAAAATAAAAATTTAATTCAAGTTAAAAATAATACTAAAATATCTAAATTTTATACCCATATTGTGTCTATAATTATTTTAATTATGTATTTGAATCATTAAAAATTAATATCATACGTAATATTGTAAATATTTTTTTATAAATATAATCAAAAATATATCTTAATTACACCAAGAAAAAACAATAATTTTTTCTTTCTACTGATTCAAGAAACATTTTTAATTAAAAAATAATTGATTTTTAACCATAATTTTTATTCAAAATAAATTAAATGTATCAACATAAGTTTTATAAATGATTATATTATATAACTTTATTTATTGAGAAATCTTATTTAAAATTTACCTGCTTTGTTAAAGCTTATATTAAGTATATTTTATAAAATTATTTGATAATTTTTTTATGTATGTTAAAATTAACATAATATATATATCAAATAAATATAAATGATAATAATATGATTATATTGTTATAATAATTTAATTTTGACAATTTTTAATATATAATATATAATTATAATTAAAAATTTAATTTGATAAAAATTATATTTTGTATAAAATATTTCTTTGTGTAGTTATTAATATAATTTATTAAGTTAGCATTTGAACTCATGCACCATATAAATTAAACTAAAACAATTCTTACTAGATAATCTACTACATGTTTAATTAGCGAAAAAAAAGAAAAGATCTACCACATGTTTAGTAATATTTAAAATATTAAAAAATTATTTTTGTGTATAAAAATACAATATTTAACACATTTAAAACTATTATGATATGTATACACATATAGAACATTAATACCATCTACACATGTGTATAAATATAAATAAATTTTTATTTTGTTTATATATTTATTTATATAGTTTTTAATTAATATAATTAAAATTCTACTCTAAATTCTTATGTCATCACCAAAAACATCAATAACATAATTTTTAGTTAAATAAAAAATAAAAAAATAACAATAAATAATGTTATAAAATTAAAATTTTGAAAGTTCTCTTAATGTATCATGTAATCCGAGGAACGCATGGGAAGCAGCCTAGTATTTTTATATTTGTTCATTGGTTAACATTTGATAAGGAGAAAAATAAAGAATTGAAAATCCAGCTCAACCGTTGGGTGTGTAACACTGGAAACTAATGCTTTTGGACATTGGATGGTCAACTTCAGTATTTGAGAATTGTGTGTCTTCAAGTTCAACCGGAGATCCAACCTCCATGATCGCATCTGTCTGAAGGTATCACTATCAGATTCATTCACACTCTTTTTGGTTTCCATTATATTCGCATTGCAAATCAACTACACTCCTTCCCTCTCTCTCTCTCTCATGTTTCTCTTTTCGCCACTTCATTCTCTTTCTTTCCTTTATTTTCTCCGCTTCCATTAACTGCACAACCTTTGAAGTTGATGCATTCTGACACTGTAAAACCTCATTTACACTTCACTCCAGAATTTTTATTTGTAGGAAAGTGAGTTGAGGGTGATTTTGGACTTCCCATCAATCAACAATGATTACAAATTACAAATCGAAACATTTCTATCCCACATTCCTTATGTAATTTTTTCACGTTTCCATTTTCCGCTACTAAAACAGGCATGACTTAAAACTAGAAGCAAAATTTTGCAGGAGATTGTTCCGAGCGCTGTAGAAACACAGCAACCTCGGAGGTTCAAAGTTTAGGCATGGCGAACAATTGTTCAATTGAGGGTCCACTGGTGGAAGAGTTCACTTTTAATGCAAGATCAGCTCCCTTCAAGAGTTGTCATGCTTCTACCATTGTTGAGGTCATGAAAATTAAAAATAAAATGATTTTATTAACCTCCATCTTTAGGCTGAATTTAAGAATCTAAAAGTGGATAAATTTTATTGCAAAAGATACCATTTACTCTGTTGTATTTACAATGAAATAAATACTCATTTTTTTTCAATAGAAGTTAACCAATTCAAAACAAAAACCTTGCCCATCAAGAAAGATGATTTAGATTTTTTTTTTTGGTCAAATGAACTCAATACTATGCTGTTTGATTTCTGCAGGTTGATAATGATCATTTTTTGGTTGCCTATTTTGGGGGCACATTCGAGGGGGCAGCTGATGTCAAAATATGGTTGCAGACTTACAAAGTAAATATATCTGTATCCCTCTTTCAATTCATAAGAAACTAGGCATTCTCTCACAGTTATAGTATGATACTAATTTTGGTGTCTGACTTAGGAAACTGAGCTTTAGAATATTCTATTCTTGCTATCTTATACATTTTGTGTGGCTAGCAGCATGACTTGGGGAGTTTAGGTTTATCTGGCTGGTCAACTATTGAAATAATTTTACTCTACAGTGCAGCTAAAATCAATTCATACAAGTGCATGTTGTAATGTAGGCTAGCTATTAAGTAGTTTTACAAATGTGGCTGAAAAAAGTGGAGAGAAATTTTGATTTCGAATCTGTTTGTCATAAAATATTTATTTCTGCACTATCTATGCTCTAAAATTAGACATCTGTAGGAGGAGAGTACCAAGCTCCGGAAGTTTGAATGCTGCATTAACTGTCTAAACACAATTTTGGTTGACAGAATGGAATATGGCAGCCACCTGTAATTGCTGATGAACAACCAAATGTTCCAATGTGGAACCCTGTACTGTTCAAACTTCCATCAGATGTTCTACTTCTGTTCTACAAGATAGGCCAAGATGTTCAGAAGTAAAGTTTATAATTATTTGTAGTTTTACATCTATTTTTCTCTTGTGCAGTCATTCATTGTTGCAATGCTTTCATATATGGTAGTTGTTGAAACAGCTAGATTTCTCGGTCCATAGTTCACATTGGCACTCAAGTATGAAACTTTTCCGCTTCAATTTCACTACATTGCATTGCATTATAGACCTAAACGTGTATTTGGGATTTTCCATTGTAATTTTTTCCTTGGACCTTTCCTTCCGAATATTATATCGATATTGGATATGTCATGAACACATTTCTGAATCATGAATCAGTTTAGTAAGCCTCATGAATCATTTTATCACCCTAACTGGAATTCATTGATGGTACTGGCTTTGGATCCAAATAAAACTATGCTGTGTATTAACACATATTTTAATGTGCTAATATGGCAATGCCAATTCATGCTTTAACCATATTGCTTCTGCTTAGGAAAATCCAGGTAACTAGGCAGTTAGTATGATATATTCATTGAATACTAGAAACAGAAAGGCATGAAAGTTAATATTTATAGCTAAATCATTCCCAATTGGTAAAGAGATTAAAATTGTTAATTCGTATGGAACTGTTTTCATGAGAAATAATATATTGGAAAAACGTATTGACTCAAAGCTTATTTGAAAAAGCATACACACTCATAAGTTATTTTCAGCTTCTTCAATATTGGTATATCATTCGCAAAATAAGTTGTTTCCAGCTTATTCTAATAAATTTCAAATAAGTGCTTAAATAAGTTATATATCAAAACACACTCTTCTAACCTCTTAGTGAGTTGTAGTGCTTCCCCATTGGAAAAGTTTGAATGAGGACTTTGTCTTGAATGAAGTTGTTTATCTCAGCAAGTGATCACTCCCTCCCCAGGTTCACCATATAGGACTTTAGGTAATTATTTGTTTCCCTTTCATATGAGCAAAATGGGTCTATATATTTCAGGTGGAGTGGATTCGTGAAACGCTCATTTGATAAAGGTGTTACTTGGACAGGAAGAGAACAACTTCCTCCTGGTATATTAGGACCTATAAAGAATAAGGTACAACAGAATCTATTTCATTGCATTTTATCTATGGCAAGAGGTTTGGAATTTATAGCTGTATAAAATTTATTCTTCACCAGTTCTGAATTTGATTACTTTTTCTCAGCCCATACTGCTAGAGAACGGTAATTTACTTTGTGGATCATCTGTTGAAAGCTGGAATTCCTGGGGAGCTTGGGTTGAGGTTTTAACAGAGCTCATCCTAGTTGAGTGGTTTGTTTCACTAATGCTTAGAAATGTAAGCTGGCTAACATTTATTACTTCTTGTGTGCAATAGGTAACAGCAGATATTGGCAGGTCGTGGAGCAAATATGGCCCAATTTATATTGAAAATGAACCTCTGAGTGTGATTCAACCAGTACCTTATCAGACTGCAGATGGAAAACTACGTGTTTTATTACGATCCTTTGATGGCATTGGTAGAGTATGTATGTCAGAATCATCTGATGGGGGCAAGACTTGGGGATATGCAAAACCTACTCAGCTCCCTAACCCAAATTCAGGTGAATTTAACAAGCTATATTGCTTGCAAATTTTTACTGCACAAGTATAACAAGTGTTTTTAGCTGAACTGGGCACCAAGTTTTAACTACACCCTAAGCATCCCTTTTTCAATGCTTGCTACTTAACTATTTTGTGTATTAATGGTGCATCTGCATGTCTGTTCTTGCTTACTAGGTCTTGATGGGGTTAAGCTTAGTGATGGGCGGTTATTGCTTGCTTATAATACTTTATCAAGGGGTGTGCTTAAAGTGGCACTCTCTAAGGATGATGGCGATTCCTGGCATGAGGCTCTTACATTGGAGGATACATTGGGAATGGAGTTCTCATATCCCGCTGTTATCCAAGCTAGTGATGGGCGAATCCATATCACCTATACATATAATAGGACACAAATTAAGGTACAAGCTGAAATTTTTATATGGTAGATGCCTTTAAATTGTAGGTTTCAGTTATTTGAGGATAGTTTCTTTTCATGAATTAATCTGCAATTCATTTCATGCATTTCTAGATAATATTAATCCCTTATCCTTCTTTTCTTTTTTTAATTTATTTTGGCAGCATGTCGTTCTTCGGCCAATGTGATGTGGAGTAATTGGTTTCAATTTCAAATAAGCAGAAACAACTGATCCTGTAATGCTCTGATCATATGGTCTTTTCAATTATCAATAGTTGTAAGCGCATGAGCAAGACTAAAAGCATTGGTACTCTTTGTTTATTACAAACTTGTAATTTCCAATTTTGCATATTTGGTTGCAGTTAGATATTTCATATTTGTTTTAGATTTTCATTTTAAAAACTTTCTATTTTAAAAACTGAGACAGGTTTTTTTTCATTAAAGAAGTTTTTTCCCCCTTAAAATAGTATGCAAACAATCAGATTCTACATCTATTTGCTAAACGCATATGCTTCACACCTTCCGCTTTTATTTTATATTTTTTTATGATATTTCAAATGGAAGAAAAATAGATGCCTTACCTGAACAATAGAGGTTTCAAGAGATAGCTTTAGACGTGGAGGTATTTGCAATTTGCAAGTGTAAAGTTTTATTCTCAACCATTTTACAGTTCTTTATTTAAATAAGAACACTAGGATTTTTTGAACAGTATAAGTTGAGTCATTTCTTGAAGTCCATTTTTTGAAAACTCAAATCCTAACATTTAGTTTTACTTAGCAGTGTTACTTGAACTAAGTACATGTTGGAAGAGTAACAAGAATTACATTAAATCATGTTTTAATATGGAAGTTATGATTTATAACGTTAAAATAAATTGTTTGAGAGAATTTGATGTGAATCCAAAACTATACAAATGGGTGATCTGGCCTTGGACGCTTGAGTGAAAAGAAAATATAACTACACAACACCTTTTTGACGACTTACGGTTAACTTAAAAAAAAAAAAAAACAGTTTCAAAGATTCATAGTATAAAAATGAGAAGTTAAATAATAAAACAAATACAAGAGAACCTCAATAAAATGGAAGAGAAAATAACATATGCGTCTTGTTGAGACATAAGAAATATGTAGAGAGAAAAATTAAATATATTGCCTCTCAATTTTTTTCCCGGAAGTTGAAGTACAATTTTTTTTCTCTCTTTGTTTCTAAGAATATTCATTTTCCTATTAAATGAGAGGTTAATCTTTTGGGATATGATTACACACTGAAAAAATATTTTCTTATGCATGAATTTCTATTTAATTCAAAATTCTATTATTGAACAGTCCAAGCTTCTTCCTTTTTTATTAGAGCATGCCCAATTACATGTTAACATAGATGTTTGATTGACCCCTTCTTACAAGTGATGTTTAATTATATTTGCTAAAATAATACTTTCAACTTATTTTACTTGAATCAATACTTGATAGTTTATATTCATGTTTGATTGAGTTCTCAGATTTAAAAAATTAACTAATTCAAATATGCATTTATACTTGCTAGTAAGAAAATATAGGAAAAAACAGAAAATCTAAAACAATTAAAGGCAAGAAAAAAAATGCTGAGAAAATTTCGCAAGTAGTTTATAACTTTGTAAGAGGTTTAGAATCAAAATAATAACGAGAAGGCTAACTTAATAATAGATATTTTTAAACCATACTGCCCCTAAAACATGATCCATCAAACAAGTTTTGACGGAATCTTCTCCTGACAACAAATTTTTGCCTGGTTTGAGACTATACCGTTCAACGGTTGAGACCTCCATAGTTTCAGACCAAACAAAAAATTTTCCTCTTAGCTCCTAAAATATTTTCATCTACGTCGGAACCTTTTTTTTTTTTTGGGTTTTGTACTGATATCTGTTTGAACTTTTATATGAACTTTAAGGCCCCCAACACCAATCCTCCTCCGGTGTAAGTTTGTATGATACTCTAATTTTAATTCTAATTTGCGGATTGTGTGATATATATCTCAATTTCTTTCACATGTCAAAAGACAAATAGTGATTTAGAACTTCGGTTCTTCTCACATATTCCGATAACTACTGACTATTTAGTTCTATTTTTAATTTACAAATCTAAAACTATTATTAAAACACATCCAAATATGGTAATTATTCATTAGTCAATACGACAATCTCTTCCAACGTGTATCTTTAGAAAATTTTATGTTGATTTTTTGAAAACAATTACAAAGAAATTGGAGATAAACAAATGCAAATATACACTAAAAATGAAGAAAATAATAATAATAATCAGTTAAAGTCTGTTTGTATTAGATTTTTTCTAATGTCACTAGACATTTATTCAAAGAAAGCTATTTTGAAAAAACGCATTGGAATCTTGTCGGTTTCGCATCGATGGTAATATTAAACATAGTATGTTTCTTTACTCTTTAATATGCATGAAAAGAATGAGTACCTCCTTAATTAGTTTGGACGTGTAGATTCAGGTCAAAGTAAAAAGAATAGATAATGTAAAGGTAGAGCCTAGTTGTCACAAATAGATGCAGGCTGAGAAAATTACAGACAAAAACAAAAAAATTATTATAGAATATATAGCATTGTTTAATCCATGCTTCTTGGGTGCGCATATATATATATATATATATATGGCTGTCCATGAAGCACATCAAATTAAAATGAACGGCAGATGATGACGTTTGAAAATTTTGAGGGCAGATATTGGGTCAACTTGGACTGAATTAAACATGAGTTATTTCCCTCCCATGTTATTGTTGCAGCTGTCAGTGGGAGGAAGTGTGGAACCATGTCCTTAGTCCATTTGGCGTTCTTAGTCTCAACTATCATTCTTAGAACTTACTCGTTTTCTGGGTATGTACACGCCTTACCTCTTTGATTTATGTATTTAGGGCGCGTCTGTATCTATGTTAAAATAACATTAACCTTGATTCATGTTTACTTCAACGTTACTGAGACTAATCTTTGGGTTAAATCTATGTTACACACTTCCTATATTCTTTACCCAATGGTTTATATAGTGTCTTTATAGTTCTATATATGATTTTTTTTTCTGTTGATGCTTTCTGGTCATATTCACAAACCTTGGTGCATCACATTATAGGTTTCTGTCACTAAAATGAGAAGCAATTAAACTCCTTTCCAGTCTCACTGTTCTTCAATCTTCTAGTAATTAGCTAAATCAAGTTGTAAACTTCTGCAGGCTAAACTCTACAAATTCAGATGCAGATAGTTTAGGTAATAAAAACAGCGGCTGCATAACAGGGCCTGTTGTGGAGGAATTCACTTTTCCTGCAAAATCAGCTCCCTTCAACAGTTGTCATGCTTCTACAATTGTTGAGGTCGTAAATTACAAAGTATTTTTGGTTTGTTCATTGTTTTAAATAAACATTGGGTTTTTGTCTTCAAATGTTGCATCAGATTATATCTATTTTGATTTCACCAGGTTGGGAATGGTCATTTTTTGGTTGCTTATTATGGGGGCACATCAGAGGGGGCACCTGATGTAAAAATATGGTTGCAGACGTATAAGGTAGATAAGATACATTTAGTTAAATTACATACATACATATGTTGTGTGTGCGCGCTTTCTATCTTTCTCTTCATAGGAGATTGGGCATACTTATGTAGTCAGAGAGGTTTTGATGTCTAATTTGATACCTAAATCTCGTCCTTTTAAAATTCTACTGTCAGAACTTTTCTGGCTTAGTTTTCTTTCTTCATCTGCCTAGAGCTAGGAGTAGGAGGTTGTGCTTGTTTGTCTTCAATGGAAATGCGTCTCCACGTAGAACTGAATAATTTTTTTTTTGGTTCTTGATTTACAAAATACATAAGGAAATGTAGCATTGAAAGTACATAAATTTCCAAAGTGGCTGACACGTGAATTGTGAATAATTTGATTTCAAATTTGTAATCCTTCTTGTGTTACAATTGTTTCCTGTTCCTATCTTTGGAAGGAGGGGAATGGGGATGTCACTTAGCTCTAAAGTTTTGACTGCTATTTTTACTTTGTGAATGCAAATTTGGTTGGCAGAATGGCAGATGGCACTCACCTGTAATAGCTGATGAAGAACCAAATGTTCCTATGTGGAATCCTGCACTGTTCAAACTTCCATCAAATGAGTTACTGCTGTTCTACAGAATAGGCCTAGATGTTCAAAAGTAAAGCTTCAAAAACTTACAATCTTCTTTTGTGTGTAGTTTGTATATGCTGTGCAACCTGTGGTTTCTGCCATTCCCTTTCATATGGTAGTAAGATTCTTTTAATTGAAGCAGCTGGGAATCAAATTGAACCTAGTATTGCTGAGTAGCATGACATTTTGAAGGAAATAAACAATTATCATTACATCACCCCTTCTTTGGAAAAAAAGATAGCCTGAGGGAATAATTGCTTTATACACCGTAAATGATGTTGTTCTTTTTTCTCAAAATATTGTTGCTTCCTATTGCACCTATGACCTGCACATTGGGAGATGGTTGGTGATCCTCAACTTCCTTAAAATACTCTTCCTTCATAGAGGGGTTGATCCATTATTGTTTGCAATTATAAGACCATTCTTCATCTATTTCATTATTCTGCAGCATCCTACATGAAGTATTGTGCTTCTAGATTCATACTTAGAGATAACACATGGACTGACAGGACCGCGATTCCCAATCACATCAACTTTTTTTGTAGTTTGCATGAGTTCTTTTGTATATTTTATGGTTATGAATCTCAAAGTTATACCATTCGAACAATGAAAGTGAATAGAAATTCGCATTGCAATACCTAAAGTGGAATCCCTGGAGTAACATGAAGTTGGGTTCAGCTAGAGATAGCACCATACTATATGGAACATCGACAGTCCCAATTGTGAGAATCCATTAACTGAGATCCATGTTTAGGTACTCAGTATTATTATTTAGTAAAATCTAGGTAGCTTTCAATTGGGGTTAATCTTTCCAGTAACAGATATAGCACAAATTTCTTTTGAAAATGCTTATTTTTCAATTATTTAATTATAATGATTGTACTTGAGAAACCAGAAATATCTTTATATTGAATTAAGATTTTAATCGTAATCAGTCATGGCAGTCATCATACTAAAATGTATGAGACTATTTAATTTGAAAAATAAGTGAATAATTAGCTTATTTACTTTCAGATGGAGTGGATTCATGAAACGCTCATATGATAAAGGAGTTACCTGGACAGAAAGAGAACAACTTCTTCCTGGTGTACTAGGACCTATAAAGAATAAGGTGAAACAAAAACCAGTGAATTGTATTTGGTCTGAGCTTGAAGTTTGGAATTCATAGTAAAGAAAAAATTATCTTCTTATTACCTAATTCAGTTACTGTTTTTTCAGCCTCTCTTGCTGGATAATGGTGACTTGCTTTGTGGATCTTCTGTTGAAAGCTGGAACTCTTGGGGAGCATGGGCAGAGGTTTGTAATAGAACTAATCTTATCTTAGTCAAACAATTGACTTGATCAGATGGATAACTGCTGTAGCTTGTGGCATGATAACAGGTTACAACAGATTCTGGCAAGACATGGAGAAAGTATGGCCCAATTTACGTTGAGAATAAGTCTCTTGGTGTGATTCAGCCAGTACCATACCAAACAGCAAAGGGGACACTACGGTTTTTGCTTCGATCCTTTACTGGCCTCAGTAGAGTTTATATGTCAGAATCCTTTGATGGTGGCAAAACTTGGGCATATGCAAAGCCAACACCACTTCCCAACCCAAACTCAGGTTAATTGTCCAAACTGTTTATGTTGTTTACATTATTTCCTTGCAGTTATCATGCTTGTATTTAATTGGACTTGCAAGAACAAAGTTGATTGTGGATTATTTGACAAATCTGTTTTGTTGTATTAGGCATTGATGGGGTTAAGCTGAAAGATGGCCGTTTATTGCTTGCTTATAATACAATTTCAAGGGGTGTGCTTAAACTTTCCCTCTCCGAGGATGACGGTGATTCCTGGCATGAAGCACTTACATTGGAGGATACCATGGGAATGGAATTCTCTTATCCTGCTGTTATACAAGCTAGTGATGGGCTAGTACATGTCACCTATACATATAATAGGACACAAATTAAGGTACAAACTTAAAATTTGCATGGCAGCTGTACCCTCTTCCTTGGATGACATTTATTGTCATGGCATGCGTTTCTCCATATGACTAACCTCCTTAATTTCCTTATTTTTATCTTTACAGCACGTTGTTGTTAGGCCAAGGTGATGCAGACCAACTGGTTTCAGATTGGCAAGCAGCTAAAACAAGTCCTTCATGTCTTTATTATATATGACATGGAAAACCCTAGCAACATACTCTTTTGAACATATTTTTTAACATACTCTGTAGTTGGTATAGTTTTAGAAAGTAAAACCAAGAAGTGTGTTGAAAATATGTTCAAAAGTGTGCTGCTAACACTTTTCCGTATGACATTTTCTAGCAGCAGTGACAGATACATAACGCAATGACTATGGCACAAATTGATTTGTTGTTTTTAATTAATCTGTTAAAAAAAGTTGATGGATTTTTTTTCCCACAGTGATAACTCAGTACCATTTTTTTTCAATAGTTTAGAAGTTCTAATGTCTGTGTCATGTAACTTTGGGTTTTGTTTGATACTTGACTAGAACATAGAAAGATCTGCTACCCCAAAATTATGTTCGGATAAGGATCACATAGAATAGTCATGATATCAACTCTGTCTCTAGTGGTAGATTCTCAACACACATGGGCCTAGGAAAAGTTCATTTCTTTTTTGTATAAAGTCCAGCAATTCGATTCTTTTTTTTTTTGTCATGCAGTAATACAAATATAAGGCTTCGTTATGACCACATGATATGGGCCAGGGCCTATAAATTGAGTAGTTTAGGACTGATAAATAAAAACAAGAAAAAGACGTAAAGGGGAATCACAATGTAAAGTTGTGGTGGTCAGCGTGGGATTATTATTATCTATTCATATTTTACATCCAAGTTAGAAAGTCGTTGAGTTGAATGCTATTACTCAAAAAATGAGAAAGTAAACACGTTTGTCAAAAATATAAATAGCAATAAAATTTACATTTTCAGTATAACAAGATGACTGGAAAAAAAATACCCGAAACAATTGCTATCCTTAATTTAAAATTGATTTCCATGAAATTAATTATTAGATTTTGTTTACATAGAATTAAAAACAAAGTTATTTCTATAAGAATAAATTTTACACATAACCCCTTCTATTTGGAAAGATAATTTTCAACTAAATAAACAATTAATAGAACATGTAGGCATGGGAGAGGGATGGTATGATTAAATAGCTCTAATTTCATTAATAGGAATTTTAGATTAATGCTACACCAGTGATCATATACTTACAAAAACTAAAAACATAGCATATCTTTGTGATTGATCCGTCAACAAACCTCTAAAATCAACGACATAAAAGTAAGCATGTATTTTTCATGTTTGATTTGGTGTTTAGCTCAAGTTAAAAATCACAGAATGTGAACACAACAAAAGATTTATGAACGCTCTAAGAGCCGCGAGAAAATCATAGGCGTGACATATTATAGTACGCACAAACTACAAACAACGTCAATTCGCCATGCAATTTTGAATGGAATTTGGCTCCCAACACTCCAACACAGTGTCGGTGCCATTTCTCAGGTTCTTCTTCCGTTTGCTTTTTTTTCACAATCGCACCAACCCACTTCACGTTTTTGCATTAACTACCACGTACTTTTCTCTCTCCTTGATTGGTGGACTTTGACTCCACTGTTTATCAATGTGGAACAGATATTCAATGAAAAAGAATGTGAGAAAAGGATCAACCACGGAAATAGAAAATTGTGTTTTTTATTTATATTAATGGAGAAGAAAAAGTCAAGGGCATAGTACTAGTTGTTCATATGGTAGCATAAATGCATAAGCCTATTCTACAACTTATGATAGTTTTGGAAAAAAAAAGCCTTACAATGTACTAACTGCTGTATGCATGTGTCTCTCTTTTTCTCTTCCCCTTCCACCAGCAAGACTCAAGGAATCAACATGATTGCCCTGCTTTTCACTAGTTTCTGACCTGAAAGTTTCTGACTCCACTCAGCTTTTTTTATCTTCTTTATTCCCTTTCTTGGCACTAGGCTCCTTAAAACTGACATGTCCATTTTATTATATATAGTACTGCAGTTATTACTTTAATACATGAATGCCTCTTCCTTTAAAATAAACGAGTCATGCCTATTTTTAAATATTTACAGTTTAAGATAATAGGAATTTGGGATAAACTTTCAAAATGTCTTACATTTATATTAATAATATAAATTTTAAAAATGAAGAATGTCAATTTTAAAAGACGTAATTGTACTTGATTAATAATTATTTATTAAAATACTTAAAATATCATTTTATTTAACTTTACTTGATATAGTACTAACAAATAAAAAATAATAAACATCTCTTAATTCTCTAAAACAAATTAGAACAAAACGCTTGTTTCAGAGTAGCCAACAATTTTTAAGGATCTTGTTACCTTGTGTAGCGTTTAAAAATATATATGAATATTAATTTCTTAACTAAAAGTTACATTAAAGTGTATTAAATATTATGAGTGAATAACTTTTATGTTTTTTTTAATAATTTGTTTTTCTTAACTGGTGTCCTAAAATAGTTAATGGGCATTGATTGATATTTTTCTATTTGTTAAATGAAATATATATTTATATCTAACACAACACCAGATCAGAAAGGGAAAGTTAAGCCATATAATTTGCGTACGCGCTCGTGATTCAAATCGAGATGTTGGATGAAGGACACGAGGAAAAGAGTTGGTAATCAAATTTAATGTAGGTAAAAGGACAACGTTATACGCAGCAAATTGCAAATCTATGTAATGGAAAGTTGGGTTTAAATTTTCAACTTTTTATGTTCCGAATTCCCATTATGCCTTGCGAGTTGAGATTGAAGTTTAATTCAACTCTAATTATCGGCGATGCCGCGTTGAGCGACAAGGGCAGCGAATTGTATGGCCGGAGGCTTTTGGACAAACACAATGATTAAGAGGAAATTTCAAAGAAGCTACCAAAGAATGTCAGGTGGGTAGTATATGATGTACTTTGCAACCCTTCAAAGTTAATGGATTCCAATGCTGACACCATGGGATTATGTAAACTCCCAGGTTTCAATTACCACAGTTAATTTTCATTAAAAATATAAAGGTGTTACAGATTATAAATGGCCAAAGAAAACAAGCTTTATTGGAAGAGGAGAAAAAGAAAGTAACATGTAAAGAAGATTGAGAACTAAATAAAATATTATTTATAACATTGTTGTACCTTTATTTCTGATCACATATACGTGTATGAAAATTGGGAAGGAAATAGTTACCGTTGAAATAACAAGTAAAAAAAAAGTTATTAGCATAAACATTGCCAGATATTATATATAGAGACAGAAAGGAGATCAAATAGAAAATTAAAAAAATGCTACTACCATATCAGATTCGGTAATTTGCAGAAAAAATTCAAAAACAAATATGAGAACCATCCGTCAAAAGAGATTCAGAGAGATTAAATTGGAAAGTTAATTTTAAATTTTGACAAACAATTGAGAGAGTGAAGGTGGTTGTTGCTTTATAAAAAGAATATCTAAAAATGTGTATAAATTTGATTTGATTTCCACCAAAAAAGTTTTGATTTAATTTGACATAAATAAATTTAAAAAAATAGATCTATGAATTGATCTAAAATTTAATTTTGAAACTTTAATATTATTTCTTAAACATATTTATGATAATTAGCTTTAAATTAAATGAATTTGGGAGAGCTCTTGTAGTAAATGTTGGTAGAAGTCTCTTGATACATAATTTAATGTTGTTTTGAGTCAAGTCCTAGTCCGTCATTTCAATGACCACTTAGCTCTAATATCATCACAGCAACACATGAAGTTTATAATTACTCATACATGTCATTTATTGCTGCAACGCCGTGTGCAGCCACTGTTATACAATCCACACGGGGATTTTTTTATTTAATTTTTATTTTTTATTTTTGGAAACTGATTAGTTAATAATGTCAAATTTGTTGAATGGTTTTCAAAGAAACACCCTATCTTGAAGGTGACATTTTTATCATGATGACATACTGCCTAATTTTTTAAAAATATTTATAAGGATAATATACCAATAAGAATATATCAATTTTAAGTCATATATTTATTTCTTAATTATTGCTAATAACAAAACATTATAAATATACAACCCAAAATGAAATTTTAAAACACTTTTTAAAATATCCTTCAAATAATGTTAATGTTTTTATAAAAAAAAGTATTTGCATAGCATCTTATAGATACCCTTTATAAAATACTAAAAACATCTATATTTTTATAATATATTATTTTATCTTTTTTTTTTAACCTACTTTTATGTAGAACTGTGGAGTCACATTTTAAGTTACAATGATCTTTATTGTTATTATTATTTTTATTAGATTACAATTTTTTTATGCATTGAATATTTAATTTTTTGTCAAGTGAAAAAATTAAATGTCACATCTTTAATTTAATTTCAAATTTTAATTTATATTTTATATCTATCAAATTAAACAACTTTTAGATATTTTAAAATTTAAAAATTATCACCCTTATCGATGACTAAAATGTGTATTATTTTGATTTTTTTTTAATTTTTTAATTTTTATTTATTTTATCTTATATTGTAAAAACGACTATTTTTTTTTTCTTCTGACCCATATTTATTTATATAAACTCAGTAGGTATTTTGATATTTTGTACATTGAATTTGGATCTCCTGTTGCAAGAAGTGTTTGATATAATAAACATTCCATTTGGCCGTGTAAAGTTACATGAGATATATCTCATTACACTGAAATTGACTTTCTCCAACTATGCATTATTCGTGCACGAAATAGAGCTGCCCAAAAGTCAATTTTGGTATAGTATGGTGCATGTTATGCATTTTGACATAACCCATAAATCATTTATTATAACAAAGACAGCACACTTTGAAATAAAAGAATCCAAAATTTTCATATATCATTGTTCCTCTCTCTTGCTTTGATAAGTGTAAAGATAAATATGTATAGTTAAAAACATGCTTAACATTATTTTAAATTTTAAAACAATACTCATCTTTTTATAAAGCTATGTAGCTATATAAAAAAAAGATATGGTATATCTAGTATAATATATGAGTAAATCATCTAAAATTTAAAAAGTCAATTAAAAACTGAAAAAAATATGATAGATGGAATTTTTTAAAGTCTTTAACCGAAAAAATGTTAAGTGAGTAGGAAAATATGAAATAATACCTAAGGACATAAC